TTGACTTTCATTGACTTTATGCAGTGTTTAATTTTTAAATTGATTCAGTGGGACAGAAATGCCAAAAATGTGATGTCTGGGTCTGCTAAGCTTGATGGGAATATGGTCATACTAGAATCTACCCCATCTCTGAGACTGGTTCCAACATGCACAGTCCCGTCATGGTATTTGCTGTAAAAGATTATAATCAGAGATTTTAAAACATGCTCTGTGGCAACTGTGGTTTGTAATTACCCTGATTCCACCGACACACCTGGACTTGGAGGATAAACTCAAAAAACGCTTCAAATGCTGGGAAATTAATTTGTCCTGTACGTGGTTTATTTATTTTTAAATACCAAAGGGAAATGATCATGTAGGATGGAGGTTAAAGTCTGCATTTAATGTGGAAAAGGGAGATTGGGCGTTTAATCTGTTTGTTTACATTTTTACTAATGTGTGTGTTAGGATTTAACCGATTCTTGGTGGCTCACTCACTGCTGTTCCTGCTCACACTGGGCTTCATTGTCAGTGTACTGTAAACACTACTGTGTGCTCTACCCAGCCGAACCTCTGCCGCGACTGCTATTAAAAGGGAATATGTTTGAATATTGATCAGAATTTAAGTCCAGACTTTGTTGTCTTTTATTCATAATTTGTGTTTGCTGATTTACGTTTTTTTGTTGCTGTTCCTCTTTTCTTTTGTCCTCTCACCTCCCTGCTCCTTCAGCCTGGCTCTGTAAGAGTTCTTTTCCTGTTGAAAGGGAGCTCTTCCTCCCTGCCATTGCCAATTGTTTTGACATAGAGGATCATCTCATGGTTGGGAATCTTTTTCTACTATTGTAAAGGATTTTTCCTGTGAAGACTGCTTTGGTAGTATGGGGTATTAGCCCTGTTGTCACGTGTTCTTCCGTCCTTGTACGACCACAGTGCAAGCACAGTTCTCATTTCCAGCAATAAGTCAAATTAGGCCAGTGTGACTGGAACTTTTATGGACAAACATTTGTAGGCAAAGTCAAGGAGATGAAGTTGGAGATCGCATCTTTGCGTTTTTGTGAATGGCGTGGTCAACAAACGCTCACTATACTGCCAAAGGTATTCACTCAACCATCCAGATAATTGAATTCAGGTGTTCCAGTCACTTCCATGACCACAGGTGTATAAAATGAAGCACCTACACACGCAGACTGTTTCTACAAACATTTGTGAAATAATGGGTCACTCTCAGGAGCTCGTGAACCATGATAGGATGCCACCTGGGCAGGAAGTCCAATCGTGAAATTGTAAGTAGGTCACCTACTTTCTGCAGACGGTTGCTACAGACCTCCAAACTTGATGTGTCCTTCAGATTAGCTCCATAAACAGTGTGTAGAGTGCTTCATGTTTCCATTTCCGAGCATCTGCATCCAAGCCTTACATCACCAAGCGCAACGCAAAGTGTCAGATGCAGTGGCGCAAAGCACCCCGCCACTAGACTCTTGAGCAGTAGAGTGATGGGAGTGATGAATCACTTCTCCATCTAGCAATCTGATGGACGAGTCTGAGTTTGGTGGTTGCCAGGACAACAGTACATGTCTGACTGCATTGTACAAAGTGTAAAGTTTGGTGGAGGGGGGATTATGGTGTGGGGTTGTTTTCAGAAGCTGAGCATGGCTCCTTAGTTCCAATGAAAGGAACTCTTAATGCTTCAACATACCAAGGCATTTTGGACAATTTCATGCTCCCACCTCTGTGGGAACAGTTTGGACATGGCCCCTTTCTGTCCCAACATTACTGCACACCAGTGTAGAAAGCAAGATCCATAAAGACTTGAATGAGTGTTTGGTGTGGAAGAACGTGACTGGCCTGCACAGACTCCTGACCTCAACCCGATGGAGGACCTTTGAGATGAATTGGAGCAGAGACTGTGAGCCAGGTCATCTCGTCCAACATCAGTGTCTGACTTCACAAATGTGCTTCTGGAAAAATGGTCACAAATTCCCAGAAACACTCCTAAACACTGTGGGAAGCCTTGCCAGAAGGGTTGAAGCTGTTATAGCTGCACACTGCGACTGGTCTGTTGTGGTGAAGAAAGGGCAAATTTGTTGTTTCATGGTTTTATCTATGGCCTCGAGCTGTGGCTAGTGACCTACAGAATAAGATCAACAACTTAGTGTCTTCCCCAAAGAGGAGAAGGCTCAGAGGGAGGTCTGAGAATCATCTCTGCTTGGACTGATGTCCCTCCAACCTGGATGAGGGGTAGAAGATGGGAGGATGGATTTTGTAGGATCTGTACATAGATTATAAAGCTCCTAAGACAACTGCTGATCTGAGTTTTTGTCATAGAAGTCAAAATAAAGTTAATTAAATTGATGATCCAGAGTTGTTGGGGTATTTTTATAATTTTAATTTTCTTATGGGAAGCACAGAAGCAGTAATCTAATACATCTCTAAGAGGATCCAAAGTCTTATAATTACCTTATAGAACATCATGACACAGAAAACCCATTTGGAAAAATACAGCAGCATTTAATTTATAATATTGTGCAAGTAAAAATAAAAAGTACAAGAGCTGCACTGAATTCCACGTCATGTCTTCTAAGTACTGAGTGTTCACAAGCTATTTTAGGCCTCGTTACATTTTTGGGTCAGTGGTTCAGTCGTCTGCAGGCAATACAGCACTGCTTGCAACTGAAATGTTTACCATAAAAAGTCTCTCCAAACTGTACTCATAGCCCTGATTTCCAGTGTAATTTCTCATCAATCAAAAAAAAATTTTTTAATTAACCTTTAGTAAAGCAATTTATTTTCCATTCAGGATAAAATTCCAACATTTCTACATGTGGATATTGAAGGGTGCTGATTCAAAGCGAAGCGATAATTATACAAAGAATATTTTTTAATTTTCTACATTTATGTAATTTAGAATTTTTAAAACAAAAACGTAAATCTCTTAAAAATAACAATGATACCATTTATATGTAAAAACATGAATAGTATTTTAATCTATTTTGTCTGTAGTCAAATGTGATGATTTATTGGCTATAGATGCCCCAAATTAGATAAATAATATTATTGTTATTATTTATTTATTTATTTATTTTCACAGTTAGTGACTTGCGTGAATAATGTATGCATATTCAGACCTTCTGGCTCGCTACCCAACGCAACGGGCGGCAAAACGTGCCTTCTTCAGAGTCTCGCTGACGAGCGCGATGATTGGACAGAGGTATTTAGAAGGTGGACACGAAGACGCAACGTATATCTGTGAAGTCGCTGAATTGAGGCCACATAAAGGAAGTTTGCCTTCCTAATAAAAGCTGAACAATTACGTGAGGGTTTGTTTTTTTTTTAAATCTACTTTGTATTGTAAGATTTTCTATTTAATTTTTTTCTGATTGCAATTTATGCACAATTACCGCGTATAAACGGGTAAAATATGCATTTGCCAATGTCATAAATAAATTAAAACTTTATTTAGGAAATTCCAACCGGATGTATGAGTGCTTTGTTGCTGTGTTCCGGGGTCTATATCCCAACTTGGAAACAGGCGCTCGGCGAGAGCTACTGTGAATTTGATGTTGTTGTGGCACCAAAGCCTCAGAAAGACTATCGTTTATGTGATTTATGAGCTGTCGCGTGACAGAAACGCGCGTGGTCGTCGTCGGTAAAGTCAGAGCGCTGGACAATGCTAACCGGTTAGCGCAAGGTGGTTGCTAGCTGGCTAAGGAAGTTAGCCAGTTAGCTAGCAATCCGCCTGCCGGAGGCTGTTCTCTTGTTTCGCGCATTTCAAGTCTGTTAACCGCCCTCACCAACTGCTTAACCTGTTCCTCGTCGAGAGCGTTAAGTCGGAGTTTCGCCAATGACGGATATAAAAGAGGAGAAACTTTACAAATCGTTGTGTAAAATGGGGAGTAGGCGATGTTTCTCCTGAGCGGCTGATTTTCTGCCACTGCTGCTCTTTTGTTTTCACAAAGGAAGAGGAGCCGCATTTCTTTATCATTTTACACCACCTCGCATTTGGTGGTGGGAGAGTTTCTTTGATCTTTCTCTTATTTTTTTTCACTGTTGTAATGGCTCCTCACAAGCAGAGCCATCCGGTGGGCTTGGGCTCTGGAGGTAAACCCAATGGGTTGTACCACCACCAGCCGTCCTCCGCCTCGATGGCTGCAGCCAAGAAGCCCAACATGCAACTTATTCAAGCCGACCACGAGTTGTTCCTGCAGGCCTTCGAGAGTAAGTTACTGCTGTCATCGGGTTGCATGTATAAAGTGTTAATTTAAGCTTATAGGAAGCTTTCCTGCGGCCATGTGCATGCAGCGGTAGCAGGAGGAAGAGAGCTGACTTAATGCCGTACTTTTATTATTATCTACAAACCGGTACTGTACACAGTAATTCTAAGAGTAAATGTGTCCATTTACTCTTAACTGCATGTCCTGGAGGGTCATCACACTCAATGTTACATCCTGAAACTTGTGTCAGAGAGACCCAGACAAACCTAGTAATTAATATAGTCTCTGCTGTTGCTTTTTAACTTTCTCTTTCTGCAGGATTGTTGTTAACTTATTTATAATTCATAGTTCTAAGTTTTCATAATTCAGTAAATGTCAAAAACTGTGCTTCCAGATGTCTTTTTCTTTTTTTTAAACTTTGAACAGTCAGAGTAGCTGTGAAATGGAGAAAAATTCCTATTCTTGAAGGTTCAAGTGGCAAATGTGTGGTACTTTACTTGAAACGAAACTACGTGACGATGCACTGATACTGATATTTAAAATGGATCCATAGCATGTGTTTTGAAAATGGTCATATTTCCCCTTTTATGTCATAGCAAGTAAGAATGTTTTAAAGGTTTTTAGCTTCTAGTTACACCATATTTGGATATTCAGTCAACTCTGAACTGATGTGGCAGGGTAGATAAACTGAGGTAGTCGAAAAAAAAATATCACTGGGTATGTTGGTGCAGTTCTAGTGAATAATACATGAATTAATGTTCTGACATTTGGACTGTTTATTTGCAGAACCAACCCAAATCTACAGGTTTCTCCGCACAAGAAACTTGATAGCTGTAAGTTTTTAACTTCGTTAAACTTAACAGTTCAGATAGTCTCTACGTTTCATAAATTACTGATGTGTATTTAAAAAAACATTGTTTTTCTGCATTTCAGCCCATCTTTTTGCACAGGACACTCACTTACATGTCCCACAGAAACTCAAGGAATAACATCAAAAGGTAAAAACTCAGACTGTTAACAAGCTTTTTTGTTTTGTTTTGTTTTTTGGGTTGTTTTTTACAATTTTAGCTATAATTTTTCTTTTCCTTTAATGCACCTCAATGTGATTCATGTGTAGATCTCGTGTTTTTTCAGCAAAAATTGTACTTGTCACTTTCTCGGGTTTTAAAGTTTATTGAAAAAGTTTGACTCTTAGAAAGAAGGTCAGTTGTTATCATGAGTGAGAGCTAACTGACACGTGGAGGCCGCCTCGATCAGTTAAAGCTGAGATAGAAGATTTTTTCAGTTGAGCTGCTTTGCATACAGACTCTGCAGGGGAAGGAAAAAAAAGATCACGCTGATACACATGAGGCTGTCTGTGGTTCAGACGACACACCGAAGGATTGTATTGGATTACAAAGGGCATGTCACAACTTCTGTTATGTTGCAGGACATGCATTTTATTTTGCAGACCTCAATAAGTGTTTAAAATGGTGCAAGTGATAGCTGCAGCTGAGCTGCCTCCAAACGTCTCTCTGGTTTAGTTTGTGGTACTTTATTTAGCTTTTTGTTAGAGGGCAGATTAATCATGGATTTAGTGTTAAAGAAAGGAGCATAGAGATGAAGTTATTCAGCATTTAACTGAGACACCTATTAACACGTGACAGGTAATGTTGTATAAAGCACTGAGTGCTCAGGTAGAGTAGAAAAGTCATATGTGAGAACCAGTCCATTTACTATAATCTAACTTTAAAAGTTATATCAAGTTAAGTTATGATTAAGCTGTTATTGTTGAATGTTTTGGGGTTTTTTGTTTAATGTGTTTGAGGTTTTTAACCCAATTTAATTGTTAAAAAGATGCTGTCACTTGTTATTTGTGTTTTAAGCTCTACTATGAGGTTAAACAGATTGTTTTCTGCTGGTTTTTGGATTTTTGCTTCTTCTCTCTTTGCATGACAGTAGTTTTCTCTTGTTGCTGTGGACTTGTTGGCTGTGTGTGTGTGTGTGTGTGTGTGTGTTCTTGATTTGAATTGGAGGTTTTGAACCAGGTGTCTGCTGCTGCTCAGCTCAGTTTCACTTTGCGCTGCAGTGGTGCATGCTTCAGTCACATGAAACGCAACTTGTGATTTGAGATGAAGAGACTCAGGGCCACACCACAGTTATTGACTGTTTTATTTAAAGCATTAATAACCAGAAGATAAGGAAGCAGGAAACCAGCAGGGTTGTTAAATGGTTGGATTATCAGAAACTGAAGTTCATGTAACTCCTTCTACACAGAGGTGATCTTTGGGTCTGCGCCCAGCTGAGTTTGCTGCAGAGAGAGAGACTGCAATAAAATGTTTGAGCAGGACACGGTTTCTCTTGTATGGCTTCTTGGAAAAGAAGGGGGTACACAGCCTGCCTTAAATGTACAGGGTCTCAGGTAATTTGGCTCATTTTGTGTGTTTAACCCTAAAGATACCAACCAGGCTGTTGTAGCTACTAAAACATGGGGTATAGTATCTACTGGAATTTTTAAGATGAGCATTAATGGAGCCCTTCTGTCATTTTCTCTGGTCATTAATGATGATTTAAATCATTATCGTAATAAGGATGTACAAAATTATACACGTTCCTGTTTAGGTTATAGTTATATTATTGTTACATATTTCCATGATTATAGAGAAAAATAAGATTCGAAGACTTACTACCGAACTAATCACATCTCTACAAAAAGTCAGTATTTATAGTTTAGACCCTTCTTCTTCATGACTTCTAAAATCGTTGGTAGCATGCTCAAGATCAGCTTCTGGGGCAAGTCTTATTATTGGTGATCCGTTCCTTCCTCCAGAGCTCCAAGTTGATCACAGGTTTGTAACTGATTATTGCTAAAAACTCAAACAATCACCAGCTTCTTCCAGCGATCCAGGAGGAGTTTGGTAAGAAGCTACACATCAAATTAACATTTCAACAGATCTTAATCCAATCGAAAATCTATGGGCAGACTTTAAAAGTGATTGGACAAGCAGGAGGCCACAGTCTGATAAACTTGGAGCTCTGATAAGGAACAAATGGATCAACATCAATCAGGAAAGGAAAGCCCAAAGTTTCAATGTTTATGTCCTGTATACAGTTAAGATGCCAAATAATGGAAGAATTACCAACAAGTTGAAAGCCTATAAAGTTTCAGAAAACATTTAGTGCATCAGTCACTGAAAAGTTCTAAAGTAAATTTAAAAATCCATAGCAAGCCATATAAATGACTGAGCTCGTAAATGAAGTTGAAATTTCCTGTAAGCAGGAGCATTTCCATTAAAATAATAGCTTGAATGTTACAGTCCTGTAGCAGCAGTGTGGTGCTGGATGCTTGGCGGCGTATAGATGTTAATGGTTTTTGTAGTTCCCTCTGCAGCGGTCATTAAAATGAGACTGCTTGGGCCTGAAGACAGCCTACAGATGTGAAGGTTACCTCACAGCTGTTCTCAGTTACTTTGGCTCATTAGAGTACAGCTCAGGTTAAAGCTGGACAGGACTTTATTTATGTTAGCTCTCCAGAGTACATGCACTACAAAACTCAAACGGTGTGCAGCCATTATGAGCTGGGGGGACGTGCTTCTCTATTTAATTTTATTTAAGAACACATCAGGACTTGCCAGCGATGCTGACTTAAACTGGCAGTTGAATAAAATACTTTCAAGCAGACACACAAACCAAAACGTCAGAAACGTCGTCATCCTTCTGCTGATATTAATTCAATACCTAATACCTCTTATTGTGCGTTCACACCATTTAAGAGTTTTGTCAGCCACGTCGTTTAAAGTGCCTTTTCCCTCACTTCACTCGAGTCTAAAAGCTCAAAGACGAAAAGTTTATTTCAGCTTTTAAAGATCACTGACGGCCTTTACCCTTCTTCTTCTTCTTCTCCTTCTTCTTCTTCTTCCTTCTTCTTCTTCTTCTTCTTCTTCCTTCTTCTTCTTCTTCCTCTTCTTCTTCTTCTTCTTCTTTCTCCTCCTCCTCCTCCTTTTTAAAGGGCACCTACTCTGCTAATTTGTTTTCATTCTTGGACTGTTAAAACAGCTTTGCATGATTCACAGTTCAAAATAATCCTCCTTTATCTTACACTGAGCCTGGTGCAGTCTTCAGTGAATCCTCTGTCTGATAAAAAGCTTGCTTCCCACTTCCAACAGTTTTTTTTTTTTTAAATATATAAATATTATAAGATATTATCAACAAAACACTTCAGTTTTAAATGAAGCATATTTCCGTTTGACAGTTGTTATTTACCAAAGGAAATGCAATTATTCAACTAAGTTTCACCTCTTATTTTTTCCTCTGGCTGTCCGTGACCCGTCAGTGTGGGCTGCAGCACCGTTTTAGAACAACTCCTTTTTGTTTATGTCACAAAACGCTGGTTCGTATGAACAGAAAATTAACGGCAGAAACCTCAACAATCAGATGATCTCCTGTGAGCAAGACTTGGAGAAGGTGGTGAGAAAGAACTCCATTTTGACAAGAACGAGACTCTGCCTCGCGTCCTACTTTTAGAAACTCCAGGAAACGCGTATAAGCCTGCACAGAGGTAAGTGCTGGTACTGTGTGGTCTTTGAGACAGGGCTGGGCGATATGAGGAAAACATAAAATCACAATGCTTTTTGGCTATATCGCGATACACGATTTATGTGTAACCAACCCTAACCCTGTTTAACTAAACTCAAAAAACAAAAGTTACTTTCAAACATATATTTTACTACATGAATAGAAACGCCTTATTTTAACCATTATCTTTAACCATCAGTTGCCCACAGAGGTTTTCTCTAATGACGACACTGTCACAGTGAACCTCGTTCTGTGGTCAACACCAGACCTTTAACAAACAGAAGATCAAAGCAACAAAAGTACATCAAGCAAGATTTGATGAGAGAAAATAAAACGACTGAATTTAAAAAGGTGCTTTTTTGTGCTTATAACATGTACAAATTGTAAAATTAAAAAATATGATCACCTCAAATTACAAAAACAAAAGTCTAGACAGTGACTATAAAAACGACTGACCTAGAACAGTCACCGGTATCACAGCTCATTTATTTAACATTGACGTTGACAGGCAGCGGTTAAAACGGCCTTACCTTTGCATTGGATGACTTTTCAGCTGGTGGGATATTTTGTGGTACTTCTACTTTTTGCAGCATGTTTTGCAAATTACCGGATTTTGTTCGGCGTCATCCTCGTGGAATCCAAATGACAGCGAGTTTCATTCCCTCTCGTCTGAATCTGGTAGTATATAAGCGCCTGCTCAGCGCAGTGTGCTGGACAGAAAGTCACAGTGAATTACATACAGACAGCTTAATATTGTTTGGCAATTTATACTTGATGGTTACAATAAAGCCATTTTAACCATCGTACGCAGAAAAACACAGTGAATTCGATATATCGCCCACCCCTACTTTGAGATGTGATCGTTCAGGACTCTGAGTGTGAGGAGGAAGATTTTAAATGACAGAAGCTAATATTGAGAGGTGTCGTTAGCCCTTATAAGAAAAACGAGTCATTCAATCTGCCTGCAGCTGTATAACCCCGGGTGTAGTGTGCCGTAATCCAGATTACGTCCTTGTCCCGAGGACAAGAACCTGATCTTCCTCCAGAAACAAGACGTTTGCCACTGAGTTTCTGCATGTTTGGACTTTCAGTGGGCTGGTTGTACGATTGCTAACTGCTGCCGTTTGTCTCCATGTGCAGGAAAAATTACAAGGTTGACAATCTTCTGTTCAAAGTGGAGAAGATGAGAGGGGAACAGGAGACTCACAGGTAAGCGCTCAGTCCTGCAGGACTCTCTGCTTTCCATTCCAAGCTTCTAGAAAACATTTAGCTCGTTTTTGTTTATCAGGTGACAAAATATCAATAAAAAGTTCACCAGCTACATGTGGAGCGATCCCGCTGAGGTACATAGTCACTCCACACCTAAAAGTCCATTTTTAGCAGGAAAACAGTGCTGTAGCAAAAAGAGATTCTCAAGTTTCACATTTTTATTTATTTGATGCTGCTTTCTCTGGCACCAGAACGCCTCCTTTTATAGCTGCAAACTTCACAATGTTTGGTTTTAAAAATATCTCAGAACGTTTTCCCCTCTTCTACAGCTTGGCCTCCAATCTTCAGCTCACCTTTACTGGCTTCTTCCATAAAGCTGGTACGTTTTTCCATATCGGCACTTTGTTTTATCGTTTCCACTGATCCCACTGTGACTAACAGGAAATCTTTTGTGTTGTTTGTTTACAGGAAAACTCTCTCAGGACAGCGAGAACGAGCAGAACTCGGTGTCTCTGGAGGTGCTCCTGGTCAAAGTCTGCCACAAGAAGAGGAAGGTGTGTGTCATGAATTTCCTCTGCTGGTTTTCTACAGCTTGCACGTCTAAATGAAACACACGAAGTTTCCTTTTCTTGCTTCCTGTGTAGGACGTGAGCTGTCCGGTGAAGCAGGTCCCCACGGGAAAGAAGCAAGTCCCTCTGAACCCAGACACGAGCGCCGGGGTCCAGGCCAAGCTGAGCTCCTACCCCTCCCTGCTGGTTCCCAGCAGCGAGTTTGAACCCAGCAACTCTCACATGGTCAAATCTTATTCGCTGCTCTTCAGAGTGTCACGACCCGGGCATCCACGAACACAGATCAACGGGCTTGCTAATGGCGAGATTCACCACAGCAGAGGTGGGCAGAGTGGGTTATTGGGTGGGTCTCATCTCTGCAGCTTTGCAAAAGCTTGACAGAGCAAGACAAACCAAGGACAAGAAAATGGGATTGTAGCAAAAAGCCAACTTGCTTTGTTTGTCATCCGATCATCCCCTGCAATGAAAAAGAAAACATGAACTAAACTATTGGAGAAAATCCTGATTTAGGCCGTAAACTGGGATAGTGAAAGGAAGCAGGATTTGACTTTGGTTTCAAACACCAATGAAGTTAAAGCACCCCTCACGTGAGTCCATGACAGTTTTGCCAGTACTGGTGGGAAACTGTCACAGGAAGTTGTTAACCAGTTACTAGTGTCAGTAGGGCTTAAATCATCAGGGGACAGGAAATGTGTCATATGTTTTGGTAACACACATTGAGACAACTTTGGTTGGATCCAATCAGAATAGCAGCGAGTAGAATTACGAGTTTAAACCAACTTCTTAGATGCCAAAGAGTCCTCCCTTTGCTTAACGACTTCAGATTTCTTATTGGTCTGCAGTGGAAATTATCAGATGTTGGGAGGTGAGACTGTTGTACGGCGAGTCTTGATGTAGTTCAGTGATGTTTCGAGTTCGTTTATAGCGGGTCCTTCAGACTTGATTCACTCAAAGTTTTTAGTTGACCCAGTTTAACTTGCAGAAGATTATTATGGCTGCTCTATCTATATCTATATTTCTTCAGCTGTTTGAACTTAAAAATTAAACACAGTCACCCTCGTAGCTCCACATCTGTGCAGAAAACGAGGGACGGTTTGGCGGAGCAGAGGTTCATGTCACCGTGTGTCTTTTTCAGACTTTTCAGAAGAAGCTGTGAACAGGAAAAGGAGGAGCTCTGCTCTCAGGGAGGAGGGAGAAACCACATTTGTAGCTCAGATGACAGTCTTTGATAAAAACAGGTGAAAGACACACACATACACTGATGCGCACACACAGTAGCACCTTTTGGCACAGGAAAGAAAAGGTGTCATTGCAGCGTTTGTGCAGCAGAAGTGAGAAGACGTTGTCGTGTACTTGCGTGCAGGCGTCTGCAGTTATTGGACGGCGAGTACGAGGTGTCCATGCAAGAGATGGAGGAGTGTCCCGTCGGTAAGAAGAGGGCGACCTGGGAGACCATCCTAGATGGAAAGGTGTGTGTTTGTGTGCGTGAACCAAGTAACCCTCAGTTCACACAGCTGATCTGTGTAGTGAAACCCCGTGTTTGCTGTTTTTGCAGCGTTTGCCTCCGTTTGAGAGTTTCTCTCAGGGTCCGACTCTGCAGTTCACACTGCGCTGGACCAGCGACTCCGCCGATCATTCCACCGCACCCGTGGCCAAACCGCTCGCCACCCGCAACTCCGAAACCAACCAGGACACCCGACCCAGCACCCTGAGAGCCACGCACGCACCAAGTGAGTGTAGCACAGATAATGTGTGCTGTGTTTCAGCACACGCGTCAAACTCGTGTTTCATGTTGATTATATCCAGGATGATCTAATATTTAGATTAAATTATGACGTGCTAGTAACCTGCATATGTTTGGCCCTTTTCCCAGTGTGGCCCTCAGTAAACTGACCTATAACATCAGCAGTGAAAGTGTTGCTGTTTTTCTTCTGCAGCTGTGAAAGAGTCGGTAAATACAGATGTTCAAACCAGAAGAGAACAAGTCTTATCTGAGCCTCGACAGAAACTACGAATCTTCTACCAGGTCAGTCCGTACCTGCTAACGCTGCCGTTTCTCCCACAGACTTCAGTCATTTCTGTGACCCTTAAATGTCATTGTGGATCTTTTTTTACACACATCTGTAATTTTTCTATGATGGATGGATACTTTGTTGATCCCACAAAGGATCCTTATGCCTGTTGTTACAGCAGGAGCAAGTGGTGAGGGCTTTATACTGTGACAGTGCAAAAACGTACACATGTGATAAGAAAACAAAGAAAATAAATAATAAAACTGATTTTAGGAAGAGTAAAAAGTAAGACTGAGAGTGCAAATCCCATTAATAGATAATATGTACACTGTACAAGAAGGAATAATACAGAAGTGTGTGTGAAATCTTACACCTGACAGGTGTGTTCACCTGTGACAGAGTTTTATAGAGAACAGTAGGAATGATTTCATGAGCGTTACTCGAGGCAACCCACAGCCTCATTCAAAGGCTTTGCACAGCTGCTGTCTGTGCTGATGGATGATGGACACCTGATGGACATCTGCTGTCTGTAGTTTCTCCACTGCTTCGGCTCTCCCCCCGTGAAGAATCCAGTGAAAGAGAGACTGTGTGTTACAGATGGTTAGAAAAGTTGGACACTCACAGATTCAAGCGTGAGTGAACTGTATGAACGGAGCTCACTTCAATTTACAAAACAAATTTTCAGCCTGGCCTCGGAGGAAAACATGAAGTTATCACGAAAAGGCAAATTGTCCATGTTCGTTGACACAAAACGCAATTTTTATTTTGGCCAGCACGACTTTCTAATGCGCGTCAACGGGAAGTATATTTTCTGTCTGGGGCACATGTATATCCTACCAGTTAATGTCAGTCTACACCTGAGCTCAGATGGGGTAAAAGATGTGGTATTTTTGTGTTGTTGCATTAGCATTAGAATTGGTAATCCCTTTTCTTGGGCGTCGGGAATCCTTGTGGTGAGTTTAGGTGAGATAAAATGACCCAAAAACCACCGATGAGGTGTGACAGCGAAACAAAGGAGTGCCGAGATCAAAGTGTGAGACACGGTGGGATTTATGAAGGCCGCTGCATGTCGATTCAGACCTCCGGAGAAGTGGCAACGGGATGTGAATTCCTCGTCAAAGATCAGCGAGTCTGTTGCTGAGATCACACTCTGTTTCTTTCTTTCCTAGTTTCAATACAACAACAACACACGGCAGCAGACCGAGGCCAGGGATGACCTCCACTGTCCGTGGTGCACACTGAACTGCAGGAAGCTGTACAGTCTCGTCAAACACCTCAAACTGTCCCACTCCCGCTTCATCTTCAACTACGTGGTGAGAGATGTACACCAGCTGTTGCGCTCATGTTTTGCACTGCCAGTTTGACCAAAGCTTTCCTACCAACCAAATTCCTGTTCTGTCAGACATGTTTCTTAGGTAAAAATGTCTTCGTGCAGATGTTGCCCAACATCAGCTTACCTGCTAACTTGGGTAGATTACTTGATATCTAGTGCAGCAGCCACATCTGCGTCAGTCAGAGCTAATGTTGGCTCTAGGAAAGGAAGAGAAGCACAGATATCCCCAGGAGCATAAATCCTTTGGATTCAAACAGTCGACACGCTGTTGGAGTCAACACGAGCATCGAGGAGCGTTTCATTTTTAAGTTCTATTACAACCTGATGAGCGTGCTCCACAAGGCTTAGAATCAAAGCTAAGAACAAATAAAATCAAAGATACCAGTACTTTAAAAACATCGTACAATGTAAAACTTGGGGGTATCATCAGTATTTCTTATTTAAATTCAGCACTGAGATCTTTTAACATATTGTCGAGCGTGTCCTTTAAATATGCATCTCTGATCTTTGGCAGCCCCATCCCAAAGGAGCAAAGATTGAGGTCTCTATCAACGAGTCTTACGATGGGTCGTATGCAGGAAATCCTCAGGACATCCACAGCCAGCCGGGCTTCGCCTTCAGCAGGAACGGCCCCGTGAAGAGAACCGCCGTCACCCACTTTCTGGTCTGCAGGTACCCCTCCAACTTCTCCTCTACCTTTATATTTATTTACATGCTGCCGAGGGCGACAGGAACTCCTGATCATCCTCTTCCTGTCCTCTCAGACCCAAGAGGACAAAGCCGAGCCTGTCTGAGTTTCTGGAGTCTGAGGATGGCGATCGGGAGGCGCAGAGGACGTACATCAGTGGACACAATCGCCTGTACTTCCACAGCGACAGCTGCCTGCCGCTGAGGCCCCAGGAGATGGAAGTGGACAGCGAGGACGAGAGGGACCCCGACTGGCTCAAAGAGAAGACTGTAAAGGTGAGCTCGAGCCAGACGAGCAAACACAGGAATGTTCCTGAGGAGGAAGAAGCCGGGTATAAAAACAGTAGAAAGCTTCATTGGATCGGTATTCGATATCAACACAGTTTGAACTGTAAAAAGTTTGATTGGTGTGTCCCGGCTCTCTCAGTCTGGGATAGAAAATTTAATAGTCATGAAAGGGAAAAATCCAGGATAACCCTGTTTCCATCTTCACCAAATTCAGAGAAACAAATACGCTTCCAATAATCAAACAGCGATATTGAAACATTTGGTTTCTCCTGCTTCTAAAAGGAGAACATTTGAAGAGTAAAACATTTCGGGTTGTTGTTCAGACGAAACAGCCAGTTTTTGTTGAAGATGTCACTTTGATCTCGACTGTTTTCTCTGATCGTTAAAAACCTCTGAAGGATTCAGACGATTCAGCAGACGCTCGGGCTTCTCTCCTCCTGTGAACGGCTTCTGCTTCTCGTGACTGTGTTAACTATGCTAACTTTTCCAGATTGGTGTGAGGGTAACAGAAGTCAGCGTGGACGTTTCTGCCGCTGGCCTATTGATGTCAACATTAAAGCTCCCCATGACTTAACAACCTGTGACTTAAAGCAGGTTTTATAATGAACGATAAAAAAGATTTCAACACACACACACCGTTTACAAATGGTTGTTGTGTTCTTGCGTTTCTTTGGTTGTTTTGGGGAGGTTTTCTTTTTCAAGTTTTCTCTGTGATGTTGGACTCCAACCTGCATAAACGCTATAGACTGTATGTAAAAGATGGATGTAACCCCGTGGTTTGAAGAATGAAGCCAGTGCAGAGGTGTCTTAAATCTGCAGGGAGCGGCTCCTCTTAAATCTGATTTGTATAGAACTCTATGAGGAAAACGACCCTATTTTTAACTCGAGTTCTGACTTCAGTAAATGCTTTGCTGAAGAGTTTGTGGTCTCATTTAAAGTCTTTTTTTTTTAAAAATACCAGAGGATGCGACACTCGCCTAAATCATAAATTTGAGGCTTCAAAATCGACCTCCATCTTTTATATACAGTCCATGCTAAACGCTAACTAGTGTGCTCTGATTGCAGCAAATCGAGGACTTCATGGACGTGAACGAGGGGGAGAAGGAGATCATGAAGCTGTGGAATCTGCACGTCATGAAGCGTGGGTATGTACTCGGCAAAGCTTTTATCAAACTGCAGAAGTTTTTTGGTTTATTTCAGGGTTTTTGTTTTTTAAACCTCACCTTATCCACTGGCGTCTTCCTCCCAGCTTCATCGCAGATAACCAGATGAACGAAGCGTGTCTGCTGTTTGCTGAACACCACGCCGCCTTCATCGTCAAACGCAACCTGTGCCGCAATTTCCTGCTCCATCTGATCAGCATGCATGACTTCAACCTGATCAGCACGCTGACCATCAACCAGGCCATGGCCCGGCTCTGCCTCGTCCAGAGCCAGGCCACCCACAGAGACAAAGAGGAGGAGGACGACGAAGAGGAGGAGGAGGAGGACTGGGAGACGGCCGCGGAGTCCCAGCCGGAGCCGGATCCTGACCCTGATCCCGATCTGACGGAGTTTAAAACCTGCAGTACCGAGACCGCCAACAGCTCCCTGGAGACTGGAAACCAACTGGTGGAGGACGGCGGCGAGAAGCCGCACGCCAAGCAGAAATTGTCCGGCTTCGGCTCGGTTTTAAAGTGACTGCTCGGCTGGAGCGCCACAAAGATTCCCGGACAGAGCGGGAAGACTGAGGCCTGAATCAGCAAACAGGTGTTAGACACACACGGGTTACTGCAGGGATTCTCAAAGGCAGGTTACACCAGGATCAAAATGAACTTCACATCCTGGAAGTTACACATTCAAATCGAAGAGACGCTTTATGGTTTCACAGTTCATCAACGCTGAGATCTTTGAATTATTTTTTAATTATTTTCATGTTTTTTCCATGTTGTTTGTCCTGTTTCTGTAAATGTTTGAGTGTTTAACTCTGAGCTGCTCCAGTTTTATTTCCAGCCTGACACAGCTGTGGAGTGAGCACAAAGCAGGTTCGGTCTTAGGGCTGGAGGTGCAGAAGACGGTCGTACGCCTTCTGCAGATGACGAGTTGCCTTCAAAAGAGGCGTCAACATTTCATGCAGCAGCTGCGAATTCAAACAGGAGGAGATGGGCCGTCTGCTCGGGACTGTTTTCAGCAGCGGAGTGATCCGTATTTGGTGCTCTCTTTGGTGCTACTTTGCCTCTCGAGACTCTTCGTTGGTGCTCTGAGTCATTTTGTGTTCACTCCATCGTTCAAACCTCATGTCAGTCTTCCTCAGAGTGAAGCATCAATCAGTGACCTTCCGGGCACCCTCAGCTCCGCCAAAGGTTTTCTTTTAGCAGGGAGTGTGTGCACATGCTCAGTAGTGTCACGGTTACGGCGTCTGATTGGGTGTCAAGAGTGTTGCTGCAAAAGGAAGTTTGACCAGTTATTATCAAGAAAGGTCAGGGTTGAACCGCTGATGGTCGGGAGGTGGCTGATCACAACTCGAGACGCCTGTTAGAGCCGTTGCTATCAGGTGATTTTACCTGGAGACGCCACAAAGTTCGTATTAACTGTTAATGAGACCGATGCTCAAAGCTAAGAGACTCTCTGCACTTGTGTTAGTCTTTTTTCTCTCCCCCATATGTATTGTTGTTGAGCCCCGCTCATGTGAAAATCATGTTCATAATAATTCTGCGAGTCAGAATATGAAGAAAATATATTTTTGCTCATACTGTGGAGCATTACCTTTCACTATCCGTGCAGCGAGCTCGAGGGATCTCGTAAGATCAAGGATGTTTTCCGTGTGATTCAGCTGCTTGTTAGCTCAAACACAACGAGACAAAAGTCTCCGAGCTTTCTTTGATCGGGTTAATCAGGAAGTTAATCCTCAGGTTGGGTTAATTTTTGGCATCCAGTGATCATGAAAACAAGATAATATTAAACAAATGGTTCGTTTTTGCTGCAATGCTCTGTGAAGACTTTTCCTTTGCAGGCGTTTTTCTCTCTTTTGCTGCTTTAGTTCAGCTCGAGCCGAGACAATGAAAACTGACTCCTAACAACAAGTTTTATGTGGAAGTAAAGGGTTTTCGCTGGATCGTTAAAGGTTCCAGCTTCGTCTGTGTCGGATCTGAGGGTTTATTGAACCTGTGACTCTGCTGTACTCGTGGGCACACCTCCCCTACAGTTATGTTTTTCTTTAAACTACTGGTGCTAAATGTTTTTACTCCTCAGTGCATCTCCTTTCTTACAACAGATCTCCACTGCCAGCTCTCCAACAACGAGAAGCATGTTTAGTTGTCTGTTTCGTTTTTTTTAAAGCGACTCTCTTTTTCCTACAGTGCTGTTTTTACCGTGCTCTGAGCCCAGGACAACAAAAAACACTCGCTGTGCAGCAAAACTGGACAAAAAAGCTCCTCAGAGCTCAGAGAGGCTTGGAAAGGCCACGTTCCTACTGTTGTAATCTAAAAAAAATTGATAACTATAGGGTTAAACTGTTTATGCAGGTGCTGGTTCCAGTTTCTTTAAAATAAGAAATTGCTGCTTTATTTTGAAATTATTATAAACTGAATAGTTTAAGTTTTGGACTGATACAAGTTTGGCTGGTCTGTTTTGTGTTTTGTTTGTTTGTTTGTTTGTTTGTTTTCTTTTATTGATCAATGAAATTGTTTAAAAAAAGAAAAAAAAAGAGAAAAGAAACAAGAAAAGCCACTTATAAAACGAATGGTTCCACAGGGTTGTGATGTCGCTTTATGGTGTGGCGTTAATGCAATATAAATAATGTTGCTCCAACCAAAAAAAAACATGTTTTGATTAGGAGGGGAAAAAAACACCTGGAAGTCTAAAGTTGGCTGGAGGAGGTGATGGTGGATGGATCAAATCCAGGCCTTTCACACAGGACGTTTGGGGTTTGAGTCCACCATGATGGGAAAAGTTAGTACTGATTTATCACTTTTAGACCAAGCGACACACTCGGAGACTGAAATAAGTATGAAAATGTGCAGTTCCTGTAGCGACCACCAGAGGCTCCTGCAGTGGATCAGTCTATGTTAAAATGTCCAACTTTAATTTGTTTAAATAAACATGTTTTCAGCCAGATATAAAAAAATAAATACATTTCTGGATGGTTTCTTCCTTCAGAAAAACTGCACAGCTTAAAGTGGCCACTCTGACACGTGGGTCAAACCATCTACTTCATGTAGATGATGTCATCTCGCTTTCACATTTAGGCTAATGCTACGCAGCTTGGTTAGCACATTTCATATCCATAAAGTTGATACAGCACACAGACATGCATGTCTGTTAATTGGTACTAAGAAACTCTCTAAAACTGGATGCTTTTCCTTTTGGATTTTTGTTTATTAGAATTGGACAGGTCCATGTTGAGACAGGCAGCTGTAGATGTTAGCTCCTAGGGTGCACTGTATTCTTGCTAACCAAACTAGCTAGCATTAGCTGATAGCTTGGTACACCAGTTTTCATCCAGTCTTTTCACTTCTGGCTCCAAAAATCAACATTGTTGGAGGCCAAACTGTGAAGTCCAGAATCCAGCAGGTGAAGGCACAGCAACTTCGTCCATCTTTTAGCTTTCTTTACCCCCACGAATCTGCAAAATTGTGACATCACAACAGTGTGACTGGTCCTGGAGCAACATTAAAATGATGAGGCGACACCATGGCGGCACATGTAGTTACTGAACACGCCCACTACACCTGTTATATATAAATGTAAATATGACTGTAAAAAAAAAAACCGATAGCTTTGTGATATGTATGTTTTTGAAACTCAAACACCATCAGTGACATTTTAGTAGGTGTTTTTTAGTTAAAGGACCAAATTGGGATTCATTTCCTGCAGATTTCTTTGCTCTTATGTGTCCTGCGTCATGTGACTCCTGGATCCCTGCTGCCGTCATTTAACCTCGAGAACACGCCGGGTAAAGATTAGACATGACAGACGAATCGCACCGGGAGCATTTCAGTCTCCACGGGCAATTTTATTTTGAAAATTAAAACCGTGCTCCTGTATAGACTGTATATGAATGTTGGATGCATCTATTGTGGACCCTCTGTGTAGGTTTTTCGCGAAACAACAGGAGTAGTAACTCCTGGAGTTCTTCCATTCTCCTGCAAGAGGGTCCCCAAAACACTCGAGGGCGCTGCCACAGATTTGTAAATGAAAATATTTCATCACCCCACCCACTAGTAACAGAGTCAGGCAGTCCAGGTGCTGATGTTTTACCCGTGCCATTTTAGCCTAAATGCAGTACGAGCCTCCAGATGTGGGCAGCTGTGAGGCCATGGGAGCATAACGTCAGACATGATCATTTGGATGTATTTAGAGCTTATCGATCTTTTTTGTGTTGTTTTAAAAAGCTTTATGCCTGCTGGTGACTGATCCAGCCTGCTGAAATCTGCAGATCTGAAACCTTGTCTTTGTTCACGAGACCCAGCAGCGTTTTGCACAATACGGGAGGAGCCGTGTCGGCCAAACGAGACTTTTCTTTAACAATAATGTAAAACTAGTTCGAGTCACAATGGTTTTCTATTAAAAAGGACAATTTTGTAATAATATTGGCATCATGCTCCATTTCTTTCACCAAAGTACACGTCACTCACAGCTCGGTCACACTAGGTTCAAAATAGGACAACAGTGACTAAGTGTCGTCGTTTCAGGATTGCACTGATTTCATTTGCTGTCTGAGACTGATTGCAAGTACTTGCTGCGACCAGCTGATCGCTCAGAGCTGCAACATCCCAAACCTCTGGGTGACTTTTGATCACAAAGAGATTGCACAGGTTGATTGCACGTGGCTCTTCCCTCTCATGTTGCTGGATTGAGAGCTCTGACTTTAAAGCTGTTGTTTGGTTTTTTTGATAAAGGCTGTTGTGTCTGATCTGGTACCTTTCATTTATAGACAAATGTTGATTTATATTTTCTATAAATTATATTATGGCTGGAGCATTCCCCGCATGATTGTTCCAATATAATATTGTACAACTTTTTGCAAAGACAAAAAAATCAAAGCAATCTGCATGCTGGGTTTTCAAATCTTCCAAGTATGAACGTTAACTGCTCACACAACAGTTGGTAACTACTTTTACTGCCCTCTCGTGTCTGCAGTGAGGAACTACAACACAAATGCAGGCAGCAGCATTTCTAAAATACAGCGACCTATAGAAGTGAAATAAGCTGATCTCGTTGCCATAGTGAAGACTTCAAACACTGATCAACACTAAAACGCACACTGATGATCTTGATCATTGATATCTGCCAACTATAATCCAGATGCTGTCCCACATGTGACCTTAGTGACTCCCCACATGAGGTGAAACATCTTCATGAACAGCTGTCATCCACTCAAGACGGTGAAGATGCACAGACGTCTTTATAGAGGTTTAACAAACTGATGTTGTGGTTCCTGTCGTGACCACTGGGGGCAGCACAGATTAGAATACATTTGCCCCTTAAACAGGCAAATTAAACTTGCATTGATGTCATTAATAAGCCAATACATCATATTTTTAAAACTGAGAATCACATGATGATCTTTATTGAACACAATGTGAAGAGACCAGCAGTGAACACACATGCAATACAAAGGTTTGACCAGCAGGTGTCACTGATGTGACTTTGACACAAACAGGTTTGTTTCCTCCACCTTCAGACGAAAAATAAAATAAAAGGGTTTTTTGAGGTTGCTGGTTTCCGGACTTTTGTACCATCAACTGGACCAAATCCAGAGTCCCACAGTTCTCTAAAAACACGAAACACTGTGCTCAGTTCTTCAGAAAAACAGGAGAACATCTGTGAGCAACAAGCTGTCCCGGCCTGTCTTTGTATCAGCTGATAACAGATTACGCCAGGCGGCTGAAATGTGTCCAGACGTGTAATAAAAGCAAGACAAGTGAGCAGTTGCAGCAGATAAATCCTATGACAGTGTGTGTGCAGAACACGTATGTAAAAACAAAAAGCTACGCAGGAAAACTCGCAATGTTAAGACATCTGAAGACATTTTTAAACCACATCAGGCCCTCTGCTCCACCAGAGTGCAAACATGAGCATGAAAAAAATTGGCAGGGCAGGAAAAACCATGGGGAAACTTCCTGTACATTACCACAGACTTTACTCGGTTTAGTTGACTGTTTTGTTAAAATGGCTGCCGGTTCGCTACTGAAAGAAATGATAACGGATCATTTGCCGTTTGACGCCCTCCTCCTGCTTTAAATACTGTCAGCAAGCTTAAAAGTAACCATGTAACTAAAAAAAATAAAAAAGCAAAAACAGAATGAAACGCTCAGAGCGCCACCTGTCAGCCAGAAATCAGTCATCAGCTGTGAAATTGGGACGCATGATTCAGATTTCATTTTAAAGCCTCAGCGTCACATTTTGGATTTCTACATGTTGATCCAGGTCACATAGGTGACCGAGGTTAGAGTCAAGATCAAATCAAAAGTCCCCATAGACTCCCATCTGTACAGCAGAAAGACGTGTTTACAGCCTGCTGTGTGTCAGTTTTTAAGCCTCAACAAAATCTAAATGAGTTCAAAAAAATGTTATGAAGGAAAACTTGTGCACTGAGACCAAAACAGCGTCTGTATCAGGCTGTAAACATGTTTATTTCCGCTTTAAAGTTGCACATTTTTAACATGGGAGTCTATGGGGACTTTTGGAGACAACTAGTGGACGTTGGAGGAACTGCAGCTCGTGGCACTTTTTTAGCCCTGATAATCATCACTTTCAGCCACTGTAGACGTCTGATTTCATGCAGGACTCTAACCGCAGGCTAACATGTAAAGGTCCTGAAATGGAGCGCTTCACCTCAGATATGTGTGCTGCAGCCCTGAAGGATCCGATTGGTCAGAGCATTCTGAACGAGCCATTTTTATATGATGCCGACATGTGTGTGGGTTGCTGTTCCCAAACGCCACGTGGAGGTTTATGGATAAAATCTGATTCCTCAGGACTTTTACTGGTTTTGGTTTTATCCTCCTCTATAACCCGTGAAGTCCAAGTAACCCTAACCTGTAGTAACCATAGTAACCCTGTGCTATGAAATTATGCGATTTTCTCAGAAGTCAAACGCCAAAAACGACACAGTCCTTTTAATCATGTCCAAACCTCAGGGTTAGGGGCTCGAGCTACTTCTCATTATCTCTGATGACTTAATAGTGCGTCCACATCAAACAAAGGCTTTGCAGAGGTCATGGCTGCCACTCAGAAATGCAGGACGAGGTTTCTAAAAGTGAAGGGTAAACCATGTAACGTGATATCAGGGTGAATGCTGTGGGGTTCTGAGCGGCTGCAAAGTGGTTCACCCTCCATTTGGTGTGAACACATGAGACCTCACTGGGTAAATGTGCAGATGGAGGACGGCTGAGCTCAATCAGTGTTACTCAGAAAGTGAGAGGACTGCAGGAGAGGGGACAGTTAGTCCTCAGACTGAAACTCTGTCCACGGCCTCGATTACAAACAGCAGAAACCGTCACTGCAGAACCGAGCCGAAGACAGGAGCTGCAGTTTGTGACAAGCAGAAGGAAACGTCGGCAGACGCCGCCGGTTGAAAACTCGCTCCAGCGAGGAAACTCCAGAAGAGAAAGGCTCCTGTTTGAGCTTCAACCCAACAGACGTGCGAGCGGCTTTTTTGTGTGTGTGAGGTGAAAAAAAGAGGAGCAGAAATGTTTGGACTGGGACGCCGGAGGAGCTGGCGTCTTAAAACACGAGCACCTTCCAGCCGGAGTGGACGAAGGAGCAGCCGAAGAAGAGGCAGTCCACCGGCTGGTCCACCAGCCAATCGAACACCACCTCGCGGTTCCCCGAGCCGATCGTCACCCTCAGCTTGAAGTTGCCGCCCTCGCTCGTGTTGTTGTTGCTGATGGGGAACAGGCTCACCACCTCCATGTCAAAGGTGACGGCGGAGCCAACGGTGACAGCAGGCAGCTGGTTGGTCATCTCTTTCCCGTTGACGAAAACGGCACCTGAGGAGAAGAAGTTTGAGAGAATTCAACATTTGTTATTTATCATAAAAAAGAATCGAAGCTGAACTTTAGTTAAATTGAAGTTTGAAGTTTAATTTTCAAGCATCTCGTTTAAATGCTTCCCACAGAGGAATTCTACACTTCAGGAGGTTTTTCCACTCTCCTGTTTTCAGCTTCGGTGATTTTGCTTTAAGTCTCTTTGTCTCCTCGTCTCCAACGATGCTCTGCTCTTTGCTTCTGCATCAACACGTCAGCACCACAGAAACAGTCTGAGTTGATTTGCCTGAAACTCGTCTCCAGACTGTTTCTTCATCTTTGCAGCATCACCAGTTCTTCTTCTTCGACATCTGGTGGGGTTCTTTTTAATTTAATTTTGGCTCCACCTTTCAGTGAGTGACTTCAAACATTATACATCCCATAACTGGGAATAAATTAAATTATGGTCCATACTCACAATCCTGCCCGGAAATCTAATCCCTATAATGGCTCCATCTCCCACCAGGAGGGAAACCATTGATCTAAAACATGGCGTCCACACAGAAAGCCTCATCAAGAGCAACCTTTCAAAGTATCAGAGCATCAGAACTTGAAGGAAATGACTTTTCAGATCTGATCAACAGAAATTAGAGACTTCAAGAGCAGTTTTGGGAATAATGGAATCTAAACAGTCTGCAGCCTGTTTTTATACTTCAATGAAGCTTAAAGTGCCGCTGTAGGAAAACAGTAGCGTGGTGGTTAGACCCTGTGGATCCGCCATCTGATAGTGACTCCTCCCATTTTAAAGCCTCGACTTTAAACATTGTGTTTAAATGTGTCTAAACAAGAACAATTTGCACTGGCCTCATCATTTATTTACAGTCTTTGAAAAGGACCCATTAGAAATGAATCCGCCACTGAAAATAGTCCCTGACAAGTGCACTATTGTCTCTGGTGTAATTCAGTTTTGTTTGTATTTCACCGATTCACAACTGCAGTCACCTCAAGGTGCTTGGATTAATACAGAGAAATCCCAACAATCAAACGACCCCCTTTGAGAAAGCACTTGGCGACTGTGGGAAGGAAAAACTCCCCTTTAACAGGAAGAAACCGGCTGGGGGTGAGAGCCTTTCTTATCTGCCAAAAAACAAACATTTTCAAGGAGACTAACGACTTTCAGGCTCGAATCCTCAGCTGTGAGCCACGCAGACTCGCCCTGTACAAGCTGAGTTTTTCTAGTCTATCTGAGGCGGCATACCATTGGTGGAAATGCAGACAGCCTGGTCCCACTGTAGTGACTCCTCCTCACTCTCGCTGTCTATGCACACGCCCAGACTGTCCCTCCGATCCATCTGACCCGCTGCAGAGATCCTGCACAGACACACAAAAACACGCCATTAGCATCTAACTGTGGATTTACATATGATCTGTACGTGACGTCCAGGAGAGAAACGGAAAGATCTCCATCTTTAAAGCTTTGTTGTGGGCGTACTTGAACGTGAGCGTCTGGCCGCAGAAGTAGGTGGGCGCTTTGGAGTAGAGGACAGGGCAGCGCGATTGGGAGGAGTCATTGCGCAAAGCGATGTTCTTCCTGCTGCTCAGGATGTAGCCCTCGGTCCCTGAACGCCACTCTGGAAGATAAAACAAACACACAGCGTTCGTTAGCGGACCTGATCTGCTTCAGTTTAAACTTTCAGGTTTCTATATATTAACACGGCTCCATACTGCAGTGGAGACAGAGACGGTCTCTGCTGATAGTACAGAAACACAGAGGTCATGCTGATGTTTCCATTAGATGCTGCCTTCCTGTTAGAGGTGCACTGATTGGCTAGTGACTGCATGAGAAGGCTGCAGCGAGTCCTGCGCACATAAATGCTTACAGGCCTGTGATGATGTCACGGTTCCTGCAAACAATTACCAACGCGACTGCATTCACAGCTCTGTTATTTCAGCTGCAACCCGGGAGGCGTTAAAGGGTCTGAGAGTTAAAAACAGAATGAAAACTGGCAAATATTTTAGAGAAAGGTCACAAACACGAGACAGAGGTCCTTGAAGGACGATAGAGTAATAATATTATTGCTTTAAAGTTATCTGTAGCCAACAGGAGGTGAAATCTCTGTTTCTTACTGGAGCATCTGATTTTAGTGGCTTAAAAGCCTGGAAGGCTTTTGGGAAGAGATGCAGGTCTTTGATTTGCTTTAGTAACTCAGACACGAGTGAACTTCACCGTTTGCTGCTACAGGGTTTCCCTCTCTCGGATGTCTCCACCTACCGTGCGGTGCCAGCGTGGTGTAGCCCGTCTGCGGGATGCTCCAGGGGCTCCACTCGGTGCGACCCTCCCCGCGGGCGCAGACCCTGAACAAATAATCCGTGTGAGGGTCCAAGTGGAGAACCAGGAACTCCGATTCCCGCCCGATGTAGGCGTCCTCATACTGGCTTCCCCCACTGCCGGAGCGCCGGTACTGCAGCCGATAATCTGCAGCCGCGAAGTCCTCGTCCACCTGAAGCACCAACGATAATGTCCAGTTTTAATTAAGATGCAGAATAATGTACTTCCTCATTTCACCAAGTTTTACATTGTAACAACAAATGTCCATATTTGAGCTGCGATTCCTCGGCACAAACTTAAAGGAACACGTGTGTTTCCACCAGAGACTAAATTAACTTCATGATTTTATCCATACAAACAGACGTGCTCGAAGGATTTTGGTGCAGAGAAGACTTCACTGCAGAGGCTGACACTCAGGTGAAGTTTAAATGCTGTGAAAACTCAAACTTAAAGGACTTCTCTGAACTTCTGAAGTCCATTTATGATCAAGAAATGTCAGTAGTAAGTTCAAAGAGCCCTTAATTACACTGGCAGTTTAACCTCCTCATTACACCGACCTTAACTTTCACTGTTTGAGTCGAGTAGTCTGGTTTTCGTCCACAACATTAAAAGTCACACCACTACAAGCGTTTTACAGAGCGAGTGAGCAGCCTGCCTGGGAACTTTTATTTTGAAAGCTGACTGGATCTTCCTACCCACCTCTGTGTGGTGCGATGGGACTTTAAACAATAGGCTCAGCATTATCTCAGATCGTGGGCTTGATAAGGTCTTTTGTTACGCTCTGCAAACTCCAACAAGCTTCCTGCTCAGTCTCTTCACCTGGAAAAGCACCGTGTGTGTCCCGTTTACCCCTGCTGACCTTACACCAGCGAACCAGGATGCTGCCTGGTCTCTCCTGCAGCTCCTCTATCTGGACGGGCGGGTGGGAGGAGACGGCGCCGTGGCGAGCCACCCGGTCCCTCAGCAGGCTCAGCAGGGAGTCATCAAACTGGGCTGAGACACACGGCACGTCCACCAACGCTGGAACCTCTGGCAGGCTGGAAAACACGCACACAGTTCTAAACAGCAGCTGATTAACTTTTTCCTTTAAACACCTGCAGCGAAACACCTTCGCCCGTATCACCTGTCCAGCTGGATGTGCATGGCCTTCTTCGTGAAGCTGCCCAGTTTGTCCTCCTTTTCTCCAAGACCACATCGCAGAGCTGCTTCTCCTGCAGAGAATAAGCATGGATCATCTTTCTGGGCTTGCTTTTGCTCTGAATAATTGTGAAAACTGTGGTGGCTGTAAATCATCGTCTCTCCTTCTTGAAAATAATAGTTTGCAGCTGTGTTCGTGGCAGCGTTTGTGCGACCCACCCTCTCTCAGCAGCTCGTCGGCCTGGCCCACGCCGTGCTCGATCAGGCTCTGACAGTCGTCCAACGGCTTGATGCTGTCGGCCTCGATGGTGTCGACCTCGGTCAGGAGGTTAGCCAGCCGCTCCGCCAGCAGTCGAGTAGCCGCCGCCTGCAGCTCGGCAAAGTGCTTCCGGAGGGTCTCGCGGGCCTGACCCGAGCTGCCTCGAATCTGAGCCACCAATCAAAGAGGAAGAAGGTAAAAACAGGTGAGGACGCGACTCCGAGAGAGAACGACATAACCGAGTGTTTCTGTCATCAGACGTCTCCTCGTTAGCTTTATTGGTGCTAATTGTTGCTGTTTTGTGTTTTCTTTTGTCTTTGCTCGTTTCAGCTCCTGAACAGATTTTAGCCAAAGAGTGAGCTCTGAAATAAACATAAAGGGGCTGCGTGAAGGGAAAATATAACATTTAAAGGCAGTGTGGCAGATCGTCAGCACACTAATTGTAACATAAGCTGAAAAATAACAACAATAATAATGCAAATTCAAAAGTACCAAATTTCGACCTGCCAGTGTCGTCTGAGCGCTCAGTCTCAAGACCATCAAGGAAAAAATGAGTTCATCTGGAATCTGATGTGAAAACACGTTTCTAAAAGTCGGGTCGGGGTCGTGTTTCCCACTGAGGAGCATCTTCTCTCCTTCAACATCTGTAAACATCTGTGAGCTGAGCAGCTGCTGCACTGTTGGGAGACAAATGCCTGATGGAGGATTGTCGCTGCTCAGCAGTCCTGGCTCTTCTTAGTCCTGTTGTGGGTTCGTGAAGCTCCAGATGAGCTCATCCGGTGAAAGGTCGCACAGACGGTGATTTCTGGAAGTGTTTTTGAGCCCGTGCACTCGTTTCCATCCCAGAATCGTGCCTGTTTTTAATGCAGCGCTGCCTGAGTGCCTGAAGATCACGGGTACCTGCCTCATCTCAGAGCCTTTTGATGAGATTATATTGAGTTGGTTGTAGAAACGTTTACTTTGCCCGTCTCCAGCAGCCACAGAGACCCACAGTCTGTGCTGAGATGCACAAATCATCACCTTCTGTATTTATTTACGGTGCACACAGCGTCCCAGCTGTTGTGGGGTTGTACTTTAAGCGCTTATAAATCAGGAAACATTCAGAGTATAAAGGTAAAGTTCTGCAGGGCTTCATCACACGTACTGAAGTTATTATACATTAAAAACACAGTCGGTTGATTCTGGGGTTTCGTTTGGGAGGAACCGATAGAGTTTCATTGAATGACCAGCCACAGTTACGCCGCAGTTAGCGCTATGACAGGTTACACCTCACACAGAGGCGGTGCGGACCGTCTGCACACACCAGCAGCTCATCAGGAAGCTGACTTACTCGTCATCTGCAGCGGCGGAGGTCATGTTTCAGTTCCTCTTTGCAGAACACACAGAGTGAGATTTCACAATGAGTACACGGAGAGCGACGGCAGGAAACGGAAGGCTGATTGACAACTGCTGCACTGATAAAGCAGGGACTGTATGACGACGGAAAGCCGCTCTGCCAGAGTACACTCGGATCTTTTTGTGTGTGTGAGCAGTTCTCCAGCAGAGGCATCATATCCTGAGGATTATCAGCTGGACACAGATGAGCAATTATCAATATTTTGGGATTTGAAAAGTAAAATAAGACTAAAGATATGATCCAAACACGAGGCAGGACAGAAATAGTTTTCCTCTTACAAGAAGAGAGATGCTGCAGTGATAGCATTGTCTCAGATCTCAAACACACACTTTGGTATCCCTTATTCGCTCTGTGTGTGTGTGTGTGTGTGTGTGTGTGTGTGTGTGTGTGTGTGTGTGTGTGTGTGTGTGTGTTGTTTCCTGGACTATAATCTGGTGGGGAGCCGTCTCCCTCTGTGGGAAATCGGGGGGTCATGGGAAAGAAAAGAAAGCACATCTCGATCCAGGATAACGTGCGATGGAACAGCTGAGGGAGGTGGAGGGAGTCTCAGCTGCACTAACAAAACAAATGAAACACATCCCACATTGAATTTTACTAACAAGTCTAATAAGTCTGCAGATTGTTTCTCTGGATGAGGCAAACTGTACGTGTGTGTGGATCAGCTGGAGGGGCTCAGGTTTGCTTTGTGATACATTATGTGCTCTGGACCGCACTGATTCAGTTAGCGTGGCGACTCTTGCAGGAGACAAAATACTGATGGAAAGGCAGACAGGAATTCAAAGTAACCGGATCACAGACAGCAGCACCAGCAGCAACCCTCTGATAGAGATCATGTCAGAGAAAGATAAAAACTGGAAAAAAAAGGCAGATTTACCAACTGGAAGTCGCTCGTGGAGCAAAGGAATACATGATTATGCCCCAGGTCACCTACATATTACACCTACGGGAGTAGCTCAGCCATGCCATCAAGTCATCAGAGCGTCAGCGACTTCTGAACATTTAGTTTGCAATAAAAGCACTTACAGTTCCTTCCATCCATCCCCTTCTGCTTATCCTTATCTGCTTACCAGGAAATCTCCTTTTTAACTTCTTTATTAGTGTTTTTAGCCACTTTATGTGTAAGTAACCTAACAAGCTTAGGCTGAAAGGGGGGTGGGGTCAACTTCAAATATAACCCTGAACAGTGTAGGTGATTATCAGCTGCACAGGGCTGGAGCCTGTCCTCGCTGCCAGAGAGGCGGGGTACAGCTAAACACATCCAATCAGAGAGACGCGACACACTCTCACACCCACACCTACAGCCAATTAAGAATCACTAAAAGAAGAGATGTTTGAACCCAGAATCATCCACTACTGCCCCCTGGTGGCGGCATTTTTAGGTATATTTTGAATTTAATGGCTGCCATCCTGTCCTGGTTAGTCGGCGCTCTCGTCCCTCAGCTTTTCTGTCGCTCCATTTTCATTGGAAGATGGTCTTTATGGTAAAATAACCTCCCCCGCCAACTCTATGCCTTCCCCTCAATAATCTATAGATACCCATTTTTATACCACCATGTGCACACGTCTATGTCCGTCATTTTAACCAGACCAACTCACTGTTGGAGCCCCCTGCGGAGATTAGAGGAACTGCAGTTGCTGCTTATTCTGAATGAAAAAACAACAATCCCATATTTTATGTTCTTGGACCAAAATCTGCCTCGTTTCTCTCCCGCTCTCCTTTTTTAATCTCTCCTCTAAGGCTCGCTGTCCGTCCACAGCGACAGGAAACAGCAGCATTGTTTACTGCGAGCAGCTGGAGGGGTAAAACTAGACAGCAGGGGAAGGAAGAGATAGCAGAGAGGGAGGGAGGGAGGAGAATTTACTCTCCCGGGATTCTTCTGAGTCAGGAGCGAAGACAAATCACACCGCCTGGGCCTGCACGAGTCTTTCAGAGTGAGCGGGTGCAGTGAAACCGACAAAGAAAGCACTGAGGGAGTGAAGCGCATCACAGGAGGAGGGAAACACGAGGCCTGAGCTTCACAACAGATCACAAATCAGGATGCAGTACCTGTTTACGGGCCTGGTTGAGGCCATGCAGGCGCTGCTGGAGTTCGCTGCGGTAGTTCTGCGCCGCCTCGATGCTTTCCTTCGCCTCCTGCAGCAACACGTCCACCTCCACAGACATCCTCCCGGCCTGCTGTCACACACGAGGGAGGGATACTTACTAAACACACCCAGAACGCAGCGTAACCTGAAACTAAGCACTTAGAAGATGTATTTGCACAGATGACAGAGGCTGAAAAATGACTCCAGCAAACAGAATCAGGCCTCAGTAATCATGTTGTTTTTAAATCACAGACAAAACAGAAACGTGTTGTCCCTGAGAGGCACACGGTGTCCCGAATGCCCTGCTTCATCTTCTGTTTTACCTCGAGTGTGACCATAATTTACAACATGAACATCGAGTTGTATCACAAAGCCTGCAAACTAAAGACTGGGACCATAACCTGGCTGTAAAGTGTTTCAGGTTTCTCTACATTCAGACCACAGGAGTCGCCCCCTGCTGGCCATTAGAAAGGACACAGGCTTAAGGCACCTTTGCATTGAATTAACTGTTTACGGCACAAAGCGAGTGACTCAGAGTGACTGAGCGGACACCAGCGTGTCCTGTAGCTGGTCGTGACTCATCGATGCAGACGTCTCATTGGACAAACGGCCCACAGCGTTCTTCATAATTCACCTCTGCAGAGGCGCTGCTGTGGCTAATAACCAATAACGGAGTAAGACTCGATCTTCTGCTAGAAAAACTACAAGTCAACCAAGTGCGTTGAGCATTTTCAGTGACAGAGGAAATGAGAAAACAAGTAAACCACTTCCTCTGCTGCCAGCCAGCCGCAGTACCAGCCGCTTTACGACACGGCGAAAACACAGGACTTCTGGTTTCATTGCAGCGGCGTGGGACCACATTCTTCACGACCTTTACGTACAATGCTCAGTGTGGTCCACCGGCCTCACATAACTACGAAAATAAAACCCCACAATGATCATAAACACGCTTTAATGAGCCTCTTCCTGTGACCTTAATATGATTATCAAACATCAGTAAAATAATGCTTTGTTACTGATTTTGGCTTCATTTTAATGTCAAAAGCAACGACTGGAAAACTGATAGCATGGAGTTCGTCTAGTTTTAAAACTGCAGCTCTGTCCGTCTTCACGTCTCTGCACCGGGAGCCAAATGACCTCTAAGACCACTTTTACAACAGCAGACACTCAGGTTTATCAGAGTAATCAAGGCTGGAGGGTCCCTGAGCTCTTTAGTGTTTTAAAGCAGCAAGTTTAATTTTTAGACATTTTTTAGCCCTCAAATGATTTTTGTGGACCTCGTTTTTGTCGATCGTTTAAAGGAAGCTACAGTTTTAGCATCCACAGACTATTAAACCTAGAACATCCAAATAAAAACATTATTATGGTATTCTGGATTTTATTTATTTTAACTTTATCCTCCCTAAAAATCCAGTTCCCTCACGGCTAAACCGTTCACTTCACTTTGAGTCATTTAGTTTATTCATTGGACTCGAATCCGAGAGGAATCGTGTGAATCGATGCTTTCCTCGAAGCGTTCCCAAACCAGCAGAGATCACTCCAGAGTGTCCTGGGTCCACTCCAGAGCCTTCTCCCAGCTGGACATTCCTGAAACACCTCAGCTAGGAGGGGCCCAGGAGGCATCTCAGCTGGCTCCTTTCAGTTTGGAGGAGCAGCTCCACTCTGATATGTCAGTGTAGGGTCTCAGTCATCCGGGTCATGGTAGTCTTAGGAGCTTGGAAAGAAACTGACTGGACTCCTTTAAGTTTTGTGAGGATGTTTCACCTCTCATCAAATGACAAGATAAAGGAAAACCCCCACTAAGGTTTAAATTCCTGGGACTCTCCACCTGGATTTGGTTTCAGAACTGGAGAAGCTTCTCGGATCAGAGGTGAAATTCACGGGAATTAAAGAAATCCAGTCACATTCTTTCTAAGCTCTACTCTGATGTCTTCACTCTCTGTCTAAAGCAGAACCCAGATGTCTCATTTCTGCCTCTTTCATCTATGATCTTATTCCTTCAGACCCATAGCTCGTGGCCACAGATGAGGAATGTAGATTGACAGTTAAACCAACAGCTTCACTCTCAGTTCTTTCTTTATCACAACAGGCTGTTAAAGGGTCTACATCACTAATCAACCTGCTCCAGCCTCCCTCTCACCATGACAAAAACCCAGAGATACTTGAAATTCTCCACATGAGGCAGCAACTAGTTTTAAATCCACCCTAATCTGGCCTCGGACCTTGAGGTGCCGATTCTCATCCCAGCTGCAAAGCATCCCAGCAGAAGTTGGAGGTTACCTCGTAACGAGGCCAGCAGAGCCTCTTCTTCCACCAAAAGAGGAGATCACACAGCAGGTCTGGCCAACATGCACTGGAAATATTCCTGATTTACTGACACAATGTGGATCAAGCTCTCACAAGTAACCAAGGCTTCAAAATGTAGTAGAGTAAAGGCTTTGGCACAAAGCTTTACAAGAAGTCTGCATATTTTAGCTTCTTCTTTATAGGGCTGCTCAATTAATCGAATTTTAATCACGATTACGATCTGGGCTTTCAACGATCATTAAAAATGACTGAGCCGATTATTAGCCCCTCCCTCATTTATCCGCGACACCTTAAAGGCCGGTCCGTGAAAATATTGTCGGGCATAAACCGGTCCATGGCGCAAAAAAGGTTGGAGACCGCTGATTAAGAGGACCCGAGGGAAGCTCGGAAAGCTAAGCAGAAGTTATTTGGAGAGTGACTGCCGTTGGTTGAAAAGAGAGTTTAAAAAAAAACTTCAGTGGTGTTGCACACTATTTTATATTATTTTTTAAAGTCATTGTTAACCCTTTAAAGCCGGTCAGAGCAGCACGCTCCGTTTTGCGTAACTATTTTTAAATCCCTGTAGAACCTGGACCGTGTAAGCTAGCGCAATAATTTGTTTTGCAAAAATTGCATAAAAAGCGCTTGCAGGAACAAAAACATAATATTCCAGAAACACGCTTTGCCGTTCCTATCAGCTGTTCGTAACACTTCCCACAGTGAAATGATGCACCTGCTGTTTTCTTTGCAAATTTGCATCATAGGATTGTTTTGTTTTTCCTGCAGTATATAAAAATTGCTGTATCTCCAAAATAAAACTATGAAGACACTCAAAATAAATTTCCTGTTGTTGTAAACTATTTTTTGCAACTTTATTGCATTTAAAGTTTTGAGGGATAAGCCTCTTAAACTTCTCCAAGTAGAAATATATGTAAACAAAACAAAAGCGATTTTCAATTTTTTTTGTAGTTTATTGCACTTTTTTGCAATTTATGTAATTACTATGGACTTAATGCATACATATTATTAAAATATGGGCTATAACAGTTGTATTGATGTATAGCAACTTGAAATGCTCCTACAAATGGCACTACAGCATGTAAAAAAAATAATATAAGCTCTGGTGGACTTGGTTCTATAGTAGGTCTTAAAGGGTTAAATAAATATCGTCAGATAATCGTGATCTCAATTTCAGTGAAAATAATCGTGATTATCATTTTTGCCATAATCGAGCAGCCCTACTTCTTTATTTAGCTGTGCTCTCAGCTCTGTGCTGCTTCGTTTTATGTTCAGGATACAGCGTTGGAAATAATCGTTTCATCACTTCCACCTCACTTGATTTGCATGTCACTGAGTAAAATAAGACAAACATGACTTAGTGCTTGGTGAAGAAACCCTGATTAGTGTAAGACGTTTGCACACATTTACACCCACTCCTCTTTGCAGAAACTCTGTAATCTTTTGGGTTTCTTCTTCTCAAAGCTTCAGCTCACTCCGCAAATTTTCAGACTGGACTGAGGTCTGGCTAGGCCACTTGTCTATGTTTTGGGTTACTGTCATGCTTGAAGACCAGTACAAAGATATTATGGAAACGGCCCCATGCACTGGCCCCTCAATGCGATGAAGTCATCCAGTAGCCCTAAAAAACAGCCCCAAAGCATAACGTCTCCACCTCTGTGCTCGACTGAGGATGGTGTTCTTTTGGTCATGCTCAGCATATCTATTACGCCAAACATGGCGGGTCGAGTTGATGCTTTAGACGTTCAGTGGCAAACTTAAGACGTGCCTGTACATGCGCACTCTTGAGCAGGGGGACCTGCAAGATTTCAGTGCACTGCAGTGTGCTATCAGCGGTGTTCTTGGTGACCGTGGTCCCGACTGCCTTCAGTTTGATAATGAGCTCCTCCCGTGTGATTTTGGGCTGATCTTCCACCTTTCTCATGATCATCCTCACCCCACAAGCAAAGATCTTGCACGGAGCTCCAGACCGATGGTAACTGATAGTCTTTTTATCAGCGTCTTCCTGATGGGCCGTCCATTTTCCCCTGACAGCCTTTGATAGCATGTTGGTCTTTCCCAACCTTGCTGGAGAGGCTGGAACATTTTCTGTGGACAGGTAAGCTTTGAACACACACCGAGTTGCGAACAGGAGAAGCAGTTATTCCTGCTGGGTTGTAGGGGATCAAATACTTCTTTCTCCCAGTAGCATGCAAATCCTTTTTTAACTTTTATGTAATGTGGTTTTTTTTCCTGGATTTTTCCTAGGAGCACCAATCAGCTGCAGGAGCGTAGCTGGACTCTTATTGGATGGATCTGGACACTCAAAGCCCACGAACAGACAAGACATTAGTCACAGGAACATATCTAATCTTACCTGCATGATGGAAAGTATCACCTGAGTTCAATTATTCAAAGTACTCTGAGATAAGTGAACATGAGCAGTGTAATGTCAAAGTACTGTAACAGCCTCCACTTTAATAATTATTTTAATGTAAGTTTGAAAATTAATACCATAAAACAAATACCAAATTCAGCCACAAACCTCTGAGAGAAGCAGCAACTTTGTGTCCTCACAAAGGGGATAAAAGCAGCACGGAAATCTCTGTAGACAGAATGAAAGTGAAGGTGAGGTGAATTACCACCAGCCTTCAGCGTCTTCAGAGGTGTCCGCTGACAGGTTACACGTTTAAAACCGATCCTTTATCTCATCGATTAATCTGTTTATTTCACAGGTTTCCCAGAAATTGTGGTGTTTATTTTCTCTCAATGTTTACCCGACAAACATTCATACCTAATCCTTTAAACTCATGTGATCTGATAGTTCCTGTGCTTGTATTTAAAACCACATTTAAAGGTTTTTTTGTATTCTTCTTTATTTTTGGGGTGAATGTGAGATAACAAAATAAAAAAAAACATTAAAAATGACTCATTATATATAGTAAGAAATTATATATTTAGAGTCTTTTTTGCATGATAATAACTCCTCTGAGCACAGCTTTTACACCACTGCTTTGGGGCTAATATTCACCTACATTTGGTGCTTGTTGAGTGAATTTAGGACCCTGGAAGGAGGTCTCGGAGGAGTATAAATACTCCAGTTCTGAATCTATTTTGGTGAAGGCAGTGTTGGAAAAAATATCTTTTTGTTGACATAGAACAATGAAATATATCACAAAAACGCTGGATTAAATGATCTTCATGCTACAGAATATCTGGCTTGGACCTTCATGTACCTTCCGATGCTTCGGCAACATTCAGTGACGCGCTGGATCGCGAGTTTTGTCTCTATGTGAAGCAGGTGCGTTAAGTCTGAGCCAAGTCCTTCTCAAAGCTGAAAGTAATGCCGCTACCTGCTGCGGTCGGCCACGCTTCCTTTAAAGCATCTAAAGAGGAAGTTACTAAAATGCATCACGCTCCCGCCACATACAGTATGCAAAGTGTCACATGTGGTCCGCTGCTGCAGGTTATGGAGGAAAGGCATAATCTATACAAGAAATCCAGCACAGCAAATGCTTTTGTAACCTTTAACCCCTGCTAATGAGTCCTGGTGATTAAAGTGAAACTTGGAGATAAGTCGAATAATTTATACTGTAAACTCCAGTGTGATTTAAAAAAACCCCTCAAAAACTAAAGTTAAAATTACTTCAGTGGAGTTTTGCTACTGTGCAAAAGTCTTGAGCCACCACTTAGTGCTCCGAGGAAAATAAGAAAAAGGTGCAGCGATGTATCGAAACGTGCAATCATGCATAGAAACACAGTGTGTAAGAGAAAACATTTACCAAATAAATGCATTTGGTATTTTTCAGCACAGCCTGAACTCTCAGGCAGCTTTCTGTGATTTAAGTATCTGTTCTCCAGATTCTTGAAGGACATTCAAAGCTCTCTGGATGTTTCTGCTCTCTGTCAGGACGATCCCACGCTGCTTCAGTCACGTTGAGGTCCGGTCTGATCCATGACTGATGCTGTTTGTGTGTTTTTCTATCCAGGTACGTTTTTACTGCATTGGCAGTGTGTTTGAGATCATTGCATTCAGAGGATTTCCAGATGGTACAGCATGGTGGAACAAAACGGGATGTCCAACAGCACGTGCTGAAATGCAGCTCCCAACAATGGCAGAGCCTCCGCCATGTTTTCCAGACGGCTGCAGACTCACTGCTGTAGCTCTCTGCTGACTTCGTCCATAAACATTGGACATGATTAGAACGAGACATTTCAAATCCAGATTCGTCTGTAACACCTGTTTTGCTGATTTTCAGTCCAGTTCTTGTGTAATTTTTATACGTCAGCCTTTTCTTTCTGTTTCCCTTCGTAAGAATGGCGTCTCGACAGCCGCCCTTCCACTGAGACCATCTCTGATGAGGCTTCAGTGAGCAGTAGATGGATCAGCTGACGGTACAGATGCATCTCTCTTTGCTCTTTTCCTTTTTCTCGTTTCTTAATGACTTTCACATGCTGTTCATCTGCTGTAGATATTTTTTGTCCTCCACTTGTTCAGTTTTAAGGATACACTGCACAACATGCCAAAATATGCCAAGTTTTTGGCTAATAGCTCTCTTTGGGAATCACTTTGCTGCTGTTATTCCTGTCAAACTTTTACCTTTAGCATTTTTAATACATTCATCTAAAGAAATGAGAACAGGCTGTGCTTTTGTGACAGGCTGCTAGTAACAAAATGCAAAGATACAATTAATAATAATAATAATGGAGTGGATTTATATAGCGCTTTTCAAGGCACCCAAAGCGCTTTACAATGCCACTATTCATTCACTCTCACATTCACACAATTTGAAGATGGATCTTTGCTGTGTAGACACAACACTGGTTCTCCCTTCAGCTGCGTACTTTTTATATCCGAATGGTTAATAGGTCAGTGTTTAAAACCAGTAAACCTGTGAAAATGGTCAGGTACAAGGACTGGACTGAAAATGAGTGAAAACACAGCCAGTGAAGAACTTTGAAAGACCTTCAGAGAGCTGGAGAACTTTTGACGAGCACTTCAAAAAACTATTACACTAAAATCTGGCTCATTTGAAATAAAACAAAGAAATTAGGGGTGGCTCAAGATTTTCGCACAGTCCTGCCATACCAATCACCTGAATCAAACTAAACAGGACGTTTTCTGTTGATGCACAGACAGACAACCGACCAGAGATCCAGTGTCATGCCTCCAAACAAAACCCCAGTATATATATATTTATACACATGAATGCAAATAAGTATGCAGGCATGCAGTCACTTTGACTTAAACAGCGCCCACTGCTAACACTGCTCCTCGACTCTCACGCTCCTTTAACAGCCCAGACATTGTTTTACATCCTTCAAAGAGAGGGGTGCAGGCCCTCTCTCCCTCTGTCTCTGTAATCCTGTGGCTTATAATCCCTCTCTCTGAGCGCTCAGCCAGGTCGACTTGGTTTCCCTCTCTGTTTAGATGACACGGGTGTGGCTAGAAACAAATGAACAGGAATTTCTCCTCCTACTTTTTATTTATTCTCTAAAGAGTTCAGCCGTCTGTGTCTCTGGGATATTTAGGTCAACCTGCATGGAGCCATGACCCGCTGTCCTGCTTTCAAGCTCCCCCACACCGTTTACAGTCTCACAAATATATGTGTGCTGCAGCGGGGCTCCTGTGACACTTTAGCAGTCAAAAATCAATGCTTTTTAAGATCTGTGTGTAATTAAATGAAGCCTACAGTGTGTCAAAAATAGGCCTTATAGTTCAGCTTTTATAAACAAGCTCTAACTACAAGTTGGGTATGCAATTATCCAATCAACAAAGGCATGCTTCTCTTTGCCACACATGACAGTTGAGTCAATCTCTTGTGAATTTTTGGACTATTAAGCTGTTTTACTGTCTAAGCACAAGTATTTTAGCCACAGACGCAGGGTGTTTCTCACTTTTTCTCATTATTATACAAGATTTCCTCCACAGGGAATACTTCCGCCTTACCCACAACAACTTTTTGTGCATTGTTGAGACATCCTAAAATGTGCATCTCCACTCATGCTCTACTTGTGCAACAGTCTTTGCTTCAATACACATCAGGGAGCAGGGCTGTAAACACTTATCTAATGCTGCCCTAGACGGAGAAAGAAAACACTGAATTTGTATCACGATGGTTATAGTGTGTACTGTGTACTACATACTGTTTCGTGAACGGGAAATTAAGCTGTTGAGGCTGTAAATAGGTCATTTTTCATGACCTTAGTTCGGATTTTAGCTTCATGCTAAACAAGCACAAGTTTCCAAGAAGAAACTAGAAGATGCAACCTTTCAAATGAAGTCTCATTTGGGTGAAGAGTCAATAAAATGTTTGGATGCTAAGAGGTTAAAATACGGTATGCCAACAATAAAAACAATAAAGATGACACATTGCATGTCAGAAGGCACAAACATATCCTCTACATCAAAAGTGTTCTGAATATATATTAAAATCAACCTCAGTGTTGCATTTAAATGCCCCAAAATGTGTGGATTTGAATGTAAAGTTGATAAAGCCCAGCTAGAAGGTCCCTAAAGAGGCCTGAGGCAGCTCCTCTGAGCAAGCTGCACATGCAACAGGAAAGCTATGACAGGCACTCAAGTGCAAACCCACGCTATTATTATTATTAACAGCGCAGGAGGCATCAGACATGTCGTGGCTCGCTTCTGTTACTTCCGTATTTTGCAGTTATTTTCTAGATAAACTCCCGCCCACCACCAACTGCAGGGGCTTCTCCAGTCTTTTTAAAAGTGCTCGAGAATGCATAAAATGTGTGACTGCATAGCTCACTCTGCGTGGTTTCTCATGCTCTGGAGCTCCAACAGTTGAGTTGAGCCGAACTCTGCTGGAAAAACTCCCATTTTTAAGTTTGTGCTGGTGTCGGCAAACAATAATAAGTCATAACAAAACAGTACATTGTTTTTTATTATAAATAAGTTGTTTAAAATAATTCGGCATGAAAACTATTTAAAAGTAATAACACTCTTGACTGAAAGTCTAACCTAAAGGACAGTACGTGCTGTTCGTGTAAGTGAAAGAGGACGGCGATAATACGATAATGACAGAAGAATTTAAAATATAGAGCTGCTCTTGTCGTCTTTAAAAAAATCAAGAATACATAAAATGTTTAATAAGGTAAGTCACGCCGCATAATTTCTCACATTTTTGGTCCTGGAATGTCTTTTAAAGTCGGGTTGAGCCGAACTCCGTTAGAAAATCACCAGTTTTCCAAGTTTACGCGAGTGGCAGCAAAAACGATCAATCATAGTAAAATATTATTTACTTTGAAAAGATTTACAACGTGTTAAAAAAAATCGGCATGGAATATTTTTAGCAGGTAGCAACTTTTTCCATAAAAACCCAAACTTAATGGATGCTTCGTGCTGCTTGTCAGGCTGAATTTAAGAGGATGAGGAGAGCGTTCGACCAACTGCCGAGAAAGTTGTAAAGTATGAGGCGTAAACTGGTAATAAAGAGGTGATGAAGAGGGACGACAAAGAGTAGATATACACGAGTTGGTGTTGAGACTAGTTTGTCGTCAGCTTCTCAGAATAAGGTCGGAAACCTGAGAAAAAGTTGAAGCTTGCTTGTTGTGGAAAAAAGACAATGAAATCGGAGCACGCTTGAGAGAACAAACACAACACACACATTAATCACGACAACAAGACAACCGACACATCGACTAAACCAACAGCCCTTCTTAACATGCGGCGGTAAAAACCCCAGCCGTACCTGTTTTAGTGCTTTCTGGTGGCCATTTCTTCCCGAGAGTTATGAATCAGCTCGAAGCCGCCGCCACACCGATATGCCCAAGTTTTCACTCAAGTCCAAAAATGACACTTCCGAGGCTTTAAGGGCAGCAGCCAATCACAGAGGAAGTCGCTTCGAACGACAAGACAATCAACCAATAGGAGTAAGATATTCTCTCTTTTCCCCACCCTAATCAGACTAACCTTCTAATCGAAGTGGAACTGATGGAAGTTAAGCGACCGACTGTGTATGGAATGCCCCTTAGGCCAAAACTAAACTGACTAAATACATCAATAAATAAACTGTATATTTTATAAATAGTTATGTATACAATTTAGCCTTTTCCTACATTAAAATGTCATATATATATATATATATATATATATATATATATATATATATATATATATATATATATATATATATATATATATATATATATATATATATATATATATATTATCGTATATATATTCAAATTTTGTACTTCACAAGCGAGAAAAGGAAAACAGCCCCAGTGTGGAGAGATGTCGCCCTCTAGTGCTCTGTAATGGATATGGCATTTGGATCACAACCTTCCATCATTCAAGTTTTCGTGATGTCTTTCCAGACAACTCCTGGTTTTATTTGATTTAGTTGCAGTATTAGGGAAAACCTTTGGCTGTACAGGCCTTTAAGAAAAGACAGAGGATAATCTATTTAAGGATCCTCAGAATGAGAGATCTACATTTTTCTCCATAGTATTTGAAGTCTTTACCTGGCTGTACACTCAGAAAGATTCTGCCCAAACTCTTAACTTTTACATAATTTAATTACATGTAAATTTCCCGAGTAATTTTGTTAAATATTTGGCGTGTAAAATGTTACATTTAATGGAATCTGGTCAAATTAAATTAATTGTGCTGCTGTGTTGGTGACGCAGTTGGACGGGATGTACGCCTGAGCAGATTAGCGCTTGACCTGCAGGATTTGTTGCTGGAGACGCACCTGATTCACGGGAAGTAGAAAGAATGATCTGGATTTAAATTTACCGTGACCAAAGCGAAGCCATGGCAGGTTTTATGCATTGCATTTTTCGGGGAGTTTTTTGGGCATTTCTCATCTGAGATCTGATGATGTGCGATATTCCTGCTGCCAGCGGAAACGTGTAATCCCTCCCAGATTACGGCGCACTGATGGATTGCGTCCTGTCGTCCAGTAGGCTGGCACTAGGGCCTAGCCAAACGAATCCAACCGGTATGCCTGCATCCTGACTGCTGAGGTGAAACCACTCAGGGCAGGTCATTCTGTAGGCACCTGCGTCCCCGTCGGTGCCAAAGACGATGAGGAGAGCTGTACTCAAAGAAGCCGCCAAGCGATTCCCCTGGCTGGCTAATGTCACCTTGTACGGATGCTTATTCGCCGGCGGTGACCTAGTCCACCAGCTCATCGCTCAGAAGGAGCACATGGACTGGAAACACACTCGCAATGTCGCCATCGTGGCAATCAGCTTCCAGGGAAACTTTAACTACTTCTGGCTACGCGCCCTGGAGAGGCGCTTCCCTGGAAAGTCCGCCGGGATGGTTTTCCGCAAACTGCTGCTGGACCAAAGCTTCGCGTCGCCTTTGGCCACCAGTGTCTTCTACACCGGTAAGATGGGCAGCTTTCATTTTATCCACGTTAAGGGTTACAGAACTGAGAGTTTGCTTCGTGTTAAAGCAAAGCGCATGAGTACACCCCCCCTTCAGTGCGCTTTTGTTTGAAGCCAGCAAATATTATCTTTAGTCGGAACATCAAATATGAGAGTTATTGATTATTTTTCCAACTATAAATGTCAACCAGCCATCGGAGCCAGAGCGCAGACGCAGAATTACGCTGATAATGAGTGATAATTGGACAATCGGGACAAACCATTACTATAAAATCTAAAGAGTGTCAGTTTGTGAATGAAACTCTAACATCTTAAATGAGTGTGAAGGTGAAGTGGTTTCCGGTCAAGGTTGTCTCTCAGTCAAATACTAAAGTGTTCAAGGTGAGGTCTTGTTCCATAGTTTTTACATTTGTGCGTAAAGACGCACGTCCCAAGCAGTGCCTTAAACCTGCTCTCTGTTTCGCAGGGGTGAGCTTCTTGGAGGGAAAGGAGGACGTCTTTGAGGACTGGAGGGAGAAGTTCTTCAACACCTGGAAGGTGAGAAGCGCTTCAGCAGCGGCGCGAAACGAAGGAAAGTCGCCTTTCTTTCACACACGGTAGCTTCTGCCGCTGCCAGCTCACAACCGGATTAATGTAGATTACGCCACCGGCACTTCTGCTTTTGCGCAGTGGGCTCGGCGCCCGGAGGAGAGCACGCGGGGTAATTCAGCCAGAGGATAAAAATGTCAGTGGGTTTCAGGACGTTCAGGAGCTGACGTCCTGCCAAGTGTGACTCATAGTGTCATGTTGCTGTGATTACAGTAAAACAGCTTCGGGTTGCTTTATTTGTACTTGCAGTCGTGAGTCATCCATCCTCACACGCAGACAACAGTTATGCATAATACAATATCTTGAAAAACAGTGACTAAACACACACACACACACACTAAACAACAAAAGTGAGCACCATTAGAAATCAGTCCATCAGAGGGACAGCTCAGAGTTCGAGAGGCTGAGGTGGTCTGAGTATGTGCAGAGGTGGGAGGGAGGATCTACTGGACAAAGTATGATGGAGCTGCCAGGCAGGAGGAGAAGAGGAAGACCTCAGAGGAGGTTCATGGATGTAGTGAAGGAGGAGATGCAGAGGATCAGTGTGACAGAGGAGGATGCTGCTGCTGCACTTCCCCCTCTGTTAACTTGTAACCCACACCTAAACCTAACTTCTCTTTCATGTAACGTTTTCTAACCCCAGTCTTTTAGCTTCAGTGCTGAGCTCTAACCATGTTTGGTGGCCATGCTTCACTGTTTTTCTGAGATTGGCGTGTCTCCCTTCTATCTCTGTCTTATTCAGATCTTTTCTGCTTTATCACCTTTGTGTAAATTATACTCTAAGGAGTATAATAATTTGCACACACTAATTGAAGTGCAGTTGTGCAGGCGTTGCTGCTGACTCTCCATTTCAAGCTGCGTTAAGTGAGTGGATTGAAACTGCGAGTGAGATATGTCCTCTTTTCTAACCTTAGAAGGATCCACAGTGACCAATGTTTTAAATAGTAAAGCAACAGATGTTGCTGCGTGCAGTTTGGCAGCTCTGTGTGCGATGTTTTAATGAACGGAAGCATCCCAATCACAGCACCTTCGCCTCAGTTCTACACTCATCCCTGGCCTCTCCCTGGGATCCTCTCAGGTGTGCATGGAGATGGAAACTCTGATCGTGTCTTGTTTTCTCTTTCAGACTGGACTCATGTACTGGCCATTCATGCAGGTGAGCCTGTTTTCATTTTTATTTGTTTAAAGTCAGAAAAAATAAAAATCTCAGAGGAGTGGAACTAAAAATCAGAGATTTTGCTGCTGTGCTGTCTGATATTATTTACTGGTAAATGTTGTTGTTTTTTCACATGAAGTGTGTAGATTCAGAATCACAGTGTGCACCCCACTGACAAGAAAACCTCTCAGAAGACCCTTTTCCATGATGGTCCTCTTCTCTGCTTCTACTTTTCTAGTTCCTCAACTTCGTCCTGATGCCGTTGTACATGCGGACTGCCTTCATGGGCTGCTGCGCCTTCCTCTGGGCCACCTTCCTGTGCTTCTCTCGGCAGAACGGCGATGGCACGGCCGGAGTGGCTTTTGCGTTCATCATGGACCCACGTAAAACTCTGGAGGAGATGCGTGAGGCCCGGCTGGCCCGGAAGAAGCAAAAGACCCAACGGGAAAACTAAAGCGAGGAGGAAGGAATGGAAGAGGAAGCCGCTTCAGTCATTCAGGTTGTTGAGCCGTGGAGGAAAGACCGAGAGTTCGTTACCTCCACTTAAACCAGCACGATGAGAGCTGAGGAGCGAATGAAAGCAAAATCACTGAATACTCTCACTGTCTGTCACAAGGTTTGACTGATGTGGATTTTGAAGGCGAGTTTTTAAATTAAGGGCATTGATTGACAGGCAGGAGTCTGTCAAGGAAGTTTATGAGTCCAGCGTGTTTTATTGATTCTTTTTATGGCGATGAACGTTTTTAGGATTTATGAAAATATGATGTTGTTTGCGTACCAATTTAAAGGCTCTCACAGCTACAGGAGAATCTTCTAAAGCTACACATTAATGCAGTACTCCAGCTGGTACCCAGAACTCTTTAGTCAGTTTTGGTTAGATCAGTCTGGTAACATCCACAAGGGTCAGCCTCAGGGTTCAGTAAGCGTCCGTCCTTTTTCATGCATTTTTAATCTTTTTGGAGCAACCATAGGTAAAAGTCCCGCAGCTCTGCTCACTTTTCTTTAAACCCTCTCCCTTATTTTGCATCTTTATATAAAGCAATGGTAAATCATACGATTTAGCTGTGCACAAGCGACAACATGAAGCTTGTCCTTCATTTCTCGTTGCAAAGGTTCATTCGGTGTGAAAACTTGTTATTATATTTACTTCGAGTACACTGTGAGTCAAGGTCAGGTCATTAAACTGGTTCCTGCTCAGGCAAGCATGAAGGCTCATTTAAACTCATTAGATCAGGTTATTTAATGTGTAGCTGAGACTTTTTTTGGGTCAAATGAGGCTGCTGGTCGTCACCATTCAACCTCAGGGAGCTTAGAAACACACCAAGAAGCTGCTGAGATGCACTATACTGCCAAAAGTATTTGCTCTTCTTCCTTCCTTTGACCATTCATCCACAAGCACCTTTGTGAGGTCAGACACTGATGTTGGATGAGAAGGCCTGCCTCACAGACTCGGCTCTAATTCACCCCAAATGTCTCTTATCAGGTTGAGGTCAGGACTCTGCAGGCCAGTCAAGTTCTTCCACACCAAACTGACTCATTCACGTCTTTATGGACCCTGCTTTGTGCACTGGTGTGCAGTCATGTTGGAACAGGAAGGAGCCATCCCCAAACTGTTCCCACAACATTGGGAACATGAAAATGTCCAAAATGTCTTGGTATGCTGAAGCATGAAGAATTCCTTCCATTGGAACTGAGGGCCAAGCTCAGCTCCTGAAAACAACCCCACACCATAATCCCCGCTCCACCAAACTTTACACTTGGCGCAATACAGTGAGAGAAGTACTGTTGTCCTGGCAACCACCAAACCCAGACTCGTCCATCAGATTGCCAGATGGAGAAGTTTGATTCATCACTTCAGAGAACACATCTCTGCTGCTCTAGATGCTTTACACACTGCATCTGACCCTTTGCATTGCACTTGGTGATGCAAGGCTTGGTTGCCATGGAAACCAGCGATCAACCTCTGCTCACTATGCACCTCTGCATCCGCTGACCTGTGATTTCAGGTCGGTCTACCTCTTTGTAGCTGAGTTGCTCTCTTTCTCACTCACTTCCACGTTTCTTTTTTATAAAACCACTAACAGCTGACTGTGGAATATTTAGTAGCGAAGATATTTCATGCCTGGTCTTGTTGCACAGGTGGCATCCTATCACGGTACCACGGTGAAATTCACCGAGCTCCTGAGAGCGACTCATCCTCTCACTAATGCTTGTAGAAGCAGTCTGCATGTCTAGGTGCTTGGCTGTACACGCCTGTGCTCATGGAAGTGATGCAACGCCTGAATTCAATGATCTGGATGGGTGAGTGAACACTTTTGGCAATATAGTCTATTTTTGCTCTGGACCAAAGTGAAGCAAACAGCGATGAATCAGCACTAAAGCAGCTGCAGGGCTAAAGCTGAACAGCAGATGTTTGCAGCTGTGGTGACGTCTCGACTTCAAACATCGCAGGTTTCACTTGAAATAAACGGGGACGTTTTATCTGACATATCGAGCCACAGCTACTGGTTCCTGATCTGATCTGAGCCTGCAGCTCAGCGGAGCTCCTGAGACCAGTTTCAAGGGCTGATATTTCTGCTTTATACCAGTCGTGCCTTTTTCTGTTGACAACAAGTCTGCAGATGTGTTTGGCTGACTGGTGACTGCCATCAGTTACAATCAATGCTACGAAAGATGTGTGTTGCTGTATATTTATGTGTGTATGTACAATTAAAAACGTAGTTGCGCTGGGATGCACTGACGTATCTGCAGGATAAAAACTCAGAAAGGTTCACTCTGTGTGATTGTGCTCAGTAAATGTCAAAGTAATCAAACTTGAGAATTTAAAAGAATACCCGCTAATGCCACTAGATAAGTAATATTAAAAATAAATATACATGAAGGATCGAGCAGGCAGGTGAGCAGTTAGACAGTAAAGATAGATGACTGTCAGTTACTTGCATCAGGTGGCTTAGAAATGTGGTGGGGACCTTTTTAAAGGAGGCAGTTGAGATGGTTTGGGCATCCAGCTAGAATGTGTCCTGGGCACCTCCTTTTGGCCGATTTCAGGACACACCCAACTGGGATGAGACCCTGGCCTAGACCTAGACCTTCTTGGAGAGATTATATAGCTCATTTGGTCTAAGAACACCTGGCCTGGGCAGCCTGCTGCTAGTTGGACACAACTTTGGATTGGTGGGAGATCATAAATGGATTGATGCACAAGTAGAATTACAGATGTTTCCTCCTTACCTCCTCCCTTCCTGCCCCTACAAGCGTGCAAACGTAACCTAAACCTCACGTTTATGTGGAGAAGAAGCGACTGACCTGATGTCCTGTTTCCTGAGATGCGGTGTTACCAGAAAACATCTGTATCAATACAGATACACAAGAAGAAGAGTTAGACCATTACTAGAAGGTTACTTTACTTCACTGAAGGCCTGGAGGGAACCCAGAGGGCTCATTATAAGTTATTAGAGCAGGATACGTATCAGTGCATCCCACTTCTGCTGTGTTTGGTAGTTTGAAATGTGAAGTTACAACATTTGAATCCTGTTCTGTTACTTGAACCATCCAATACAGGTGAGTGACAAATTAAAGGAAAAGTAAAGTGCTGAACCAAAATCTCCCACCTGTGGTCAGCTGGGTTGAGATCATGTGACTGTGAAGGCCAGAGCTAGTGATGAATGTCATCTTCATCCCAACGCCCTGCTAGGCCCCGAAACAGCAGAGGGAAGCGTTCCTTCACAGGATGAAGCAGGAGGCAGCGAGCCTTCCCTCGCAGGTTTCACTGGTTTTTATTTAATTTGTCACTGTTCTGTATTTTGCCATCAGCCCAGAAACCTTACTGTGTTCACATCACTTACCTGAGTTACACGAGTTTAGATTTACTGATTCTGTAAGACTTTTGGTTTTGGTGTTATCAGATGAGATCATGTATCAAATGAAAAACAGCCCTTCAGTGGATAAACCTAGAAATCCTGTTTTCCATGTTTAGAACATTAAACCTCAACAAATGTTCATTTATTTTGCAAAGTGGTTTATAAAAGTTATCACTAGGATCTTACAGCGACTAGTTTACAGCAGCTGTGATGACCTCAGCTGTTCTGTTGTTCCATCACTTTAATATTTTCACAACGAGGCCACGTCTTTGTGCGTCCTTTTGACACGTGTTCACAGAGTAAACCTGACACCAATAAACCGGTCAAACAGCTCTCTCCTGTTGTCTCCAGTGGACGGGGTTATTGTCCTGATTCGAATGAGATGCGATGGGAAAATTGTGTCCCAGTTAAGCCATGAACAGTGAGGCTGTTGGACTGTTGAGCATTAAACAGGTTCCCGGAGCAGATAAAGACCACAGTTAGCGGCACGGTCACAGGGGTGGAGTAAATGTTGTTTCCACCCTCCTGAGACCCAGCCTGTTCACTTATGTCCTCTGTAATGGACATTTCTTTTAGGTCTCTATCTTTTGAGTTATTTGAGCAACCCCACTAAGTACTGATGTGCTAAAAAGAGGACATTGTGGCCTTTCCAGTGATATTTCATGTGTTTTGGTGATCTTGTTTAGCTCCAAAAGGGCAGGAAATCACAAAAAAGTTAATCTGGAAGATACTTTTTTCCTCAGCGACTAGAATCTCACGAGGTTCTCACGAGGATACGCACCAATTCTTCTAGAATTTATCGTCCAATAAGAGGTTTTACTTTTTATATAAGTTAAATGAAAAACAGTTAATACATTCTGATGAATTTTTCTGTGTTAGTCTCAGAATCATCCCACAGTTAACAGTTAAATATAGGAATCTTAAAGAGTCGCTGTCTATTTATACTGCAGCACCATGAGGAGGTGTTTCAGGCCAGTTTCTGGAATCTGATGCTCAAAGTCTTTTCCCAGCAGTGCTCAAAAATGAAAACTAAAATGATTAAATAAACACTTTAACTTAGTCTAAGTATTCTCTAAGATTTGACTCTTAAGTACATCACTCTAAGTTTATGTTTTTGTTTTGTTTTCCAATTTCTGGCAACTCGTTTGTCTAACCAGATCGAGCTATCCTGTAAAAATCGACAGACTGGCTTTAATTAAAACCTTTAATACAAACTCTTAAAAAGAGTCTTAAAACATTAGCTAACCTTAAATTAGGATTGATGCATTGTTTTGTTTTTAGTGTGCATAACAGGATAAGTCACTTAATGTACCGGTAAACAAGAGTGGAAGAGCTAAATATTATCCATCCATCCATCCATCCATCCATCCATTCGCTTCCGCTTATCCTTTCCCAGCTGTCATAGGGCGAGAGGCGGGGTACACCCTGGACAGGTCGCCAGTCTGTCGCAGGGCAGATAAATATATTTTTTAGCTAAATTATAGTGAAGAAATTCATGCTGACGTAAGAAAGCGTCATTATAAATGGGCTGGATATTTACTTTATAGCATGTACACAATATTTACGATTCAGAGACAGGGTTCTCTGTTTTCTGTGACCCATACGCTGCAGAGACAACAGGAAAGCTGGATTTATTAAAGTTACTGATCACTGCAGAAGTCTCAAACGTGGTCGTCTAAACACATCATAGTGAAGTGAAGACTAAATCAAAGATCTGAGGTGAAACATCAACAGCCCAGTGAGTCTTTGTTCTCACCACAGAGGAAGTATTCTTAATACAAATTATTACCTTTAAATGAGTTTAGTCAACTCTACTGCTCAGCACAGACAACTAATACTAATATAAGTAAGTAAACTCCAAAAACAAGTGTGAATAAAATTAAAGTTAGATTTTACCAACGCACAGTACTGAGATCAGTCTTTTAATAGATTTCATTCTAAAAGCAAATAAAAGTATTTCTTAAAACAGAGATGTATCACTTTAACCAGACTGCCGCTAATGTCAGTGACGGTCACATGTTCATGTTTATAATCTGCTGTCAGTGTGTGGACTCAAAACATGCAGCACAGATATGAAGCAAGGGTACAGTGTGTGTGTGTGTGTGTGTGTGTGTGTGTGTGTGTGTGTGTGTGTGTGTGTGTGTGTGTGTGTGTATAAAAGCTTTATGCTCCAGTGATGTGTGGGTGGATTAACCAGGATCAGATAGGCCTCCTTAATCCCTTTGCAAAAGGACAGAGTTGACCCAGTCATTCCGACCTCTGACCCCATCAACAGGAAGTGAAATTTTTACCCAATCAGAGTGAAGGACGCTGCCAAGTGCCCTTCTTTTCTAACCCTGGGAAACATAAGCGACAGACTGTGAGGGGGCGGCTGCAGAGGACTTAAATTTAAGCACAGGTTTAGTAACTGATACAAAAAAAACCACAATGGTTAATATAAATAACCATTAATGACGTCATCTCAGTAAAAAAGTGATCACATGATGAAGCTTCTGTTGCCACCCAGTGTTGGAAAGTGATTTTGGTTTTTATAAAATTGTTTTAAAAAGCTGAAACTCACATTTGGGTTGGCAGAAATAAAAGTAACTTGAAGTAAGCAGACAAAGAAGTTGAATATTTAACATGCTTCTTGATCTCTTTTTAAATCACACATCCACACAGTTTCAGCTTTATCACACAGCTCCTTGTCTGGTTATGTGAAAACAACAAGTGGTTTTTTTCCACTGAGAAACCCTGAGGTTTCTTTTGAGCAAGTACTTGGTGACAACACTCGTCCTGTGGTCTTATTGGCCACAGAGCCAGGGATGCCTGCAGACAGATGAAGGGAGACCGAAGCTGCAATGGCAACTAGGGGGGACCAGCACTGCCAAAATAATGAGGTCATAAATAAATGAATAGCTCTACTAAAAAACAAAACAAAAAAAACATGCACATATACATTTGCAAAAAAGTATAAGCATGAACGAATCTTCCTTTAGCCGTCTGGCTTCTGTCTCACCCTGTTACTACCATCCTGTCCTGTCACACCAGCCCTTTGTTTTACAGATTCTGAGCTGAGCTACATTTGTGACCTCACCAGTATCCTCGTCATTATTGGTAGTGACTGAAAGAATAAGAACCAAGATACCAGTAGCAGAAATAAGCATCTTCTAAAAGTGACAGCTGCATCCTTCAGTATTGGCTCAACATCTGACCAGGATGCCTTGGACAAATGCCGGATGGATGGTACATTATTATCTTCTCCAAACAATATTATTTCTTATGAATGTACTTTTTTCTTTAACAATAAGAAAACTTAAGGTGCACTCCAAGAGAATACAAAAATAATTTAAATGCCATCTTTTAACAATATGCAATACAAACACAGGACTGTCGTGAGCAGGGGCTCTTTAAAGTAGAACGCACACACAAAATAAACAACAAGTAAATAAAATAAAAGCTTTCCTGAACTTTTTTGCAAAAATAATTTACCACCCTTTCAAAAAACAAACAAACTCTATCTGAATTTATCACTTTTCTTTATGGCTGGCAGCTATTTATGAAACAAAAAAAATTGTTAAATAAATATAAACATAAATATATTTATATATGTTTTTATTTTGCAATTAAAAATAATAATGGTCTTGTTAATAACTTTTACATGCCTATATTCTAGAACTTTTTAATATTTGTTTTTTCGACACATTTCCAACAGCACTTAAAGGCAGCATCCTCTGGTAATCCATCAAAAACGTCTAGACTCTTGGGACTGTTAAGATCCCTTTTGGTAGATTCCCCCATTCTACATTGATATCATTACTGTGATTGGACAATAATTATAAACCCCGCCTGCCAGTCCTTGATTGACAGACAGTTCACCAATAGCGAGAGGCAACGAGGCTCCCTTGTAACCTCTGATTGGTGGATTGGTCTGGACAATATGAATGGCAAAGTGTATTGTTCGACGTCTTCCCAAAGAGCAGCAACTTTGCGGTTCTCCAACTTAAGGCGAGTCCGTTAAATTGGTTTGTTTGAACGATTCTGCTTGAAATTTCATCGTCAAAGCGCCACAAGTTAAAGAAGACATGGAGAAGATTTAGATTTAGTTCAATCTGGTTAATTTGTCGTCGAACGGAGACAACTGTTGAGCGTAAGTAGCTGAAGTCATATGTTAGTCTCAGCGGGGATTTAAATGGTTAAACTCCGTTAGCCCAACTAGGTGGCTAGCGGTGGCTTGTTTGCAGTCATCTAACTTTGTTGTATACGAGTTAAAAACCAATACGACTCTAAAGGAATGTGTTACTAGTATTAAAAAAAAGATAAACTAAGTTCTAGGTTTTGATGCAAGTCTTACTGCTCATTAAGTTCCCTTTTTTGGTCTCGCTCACAGTGTGACCAGACACCATGTAAGTTTTTCATTTAAAATCGTTTACATTAGTTCAATTGCTTACACTATTTGTGGAAGTTGGAAATATTATTACGTTCTTGGACGCAACACGGTATGCTCCTTAATTCGGCATACACTCAGGTGTTCGATAAACTGCACTTAAAACTGAACGATGTTCTCCAAGCACGCCCTTACACCACGGATAGCTGCGACGAGCGAACTCTGAAAGTTCAGATTTATTTTGTATAAATTCTGCTTCTTTTCGTGCCGGATTATTGCGAAAACTCACAAGAATCATCTCAATTTATTTCCTACTTCAGGTCCTGTTTTTTTCACAAGCCTGTGTAACAATGAAGATAAACTGGCCGCTTTCAAACAGTAGTTCAGCTCTTTATTGAAATTGCCCACAGACTAGTGTTGGTGTGTGAGAGAAGAGCCTGCCCTAGAGATGGGGGACCGGGAGCCTCCAGTGTTTGGGTCCCTGGAGGAAGAGCTGGAGTACTGGAAGGAACAGGCTGCCAAGCACCAACAGAGGTATGGCCCCTGGTGATCTTCTTATAATTTTATTAATTTATAAACCCTAAGCTGTATATAGAATGAAGTGGATGTGTATCTTAATCTCACGTTAAATTCACCGCTGGTGGCGTGTTTAAAAATAGTTGGGAGTGAGACATGTTTATCACTGTGTTGCATCACGTTCTTCTTTTATCAGCGCTCAGAGTGTTTAGAAAACCAAATGTTTCTCCGTTCTCAGTGGATATTGGATTTCAGCACTCCCAGCTGTCGTAGGTTTTTGTTTCATAATGTGCCAAATGTTTTCGACAGGTGATCGGTCAGGGGCCGCTAAAGCACGTTTAACATACCCCGGATATTTTTTCCTTATCTGGCTTCACTCGAACATCCACAAATAAATCAACCTGGGGTCTAACAGCGTAGCCGAGGCAGGGTTTGCAGCATCTGACCAAGCAGAAACACTGAGAGGTCTGCTGGCAGCAGCTGATTTTTAGGGCATGTGGACACGTGTGAATGAGAGTTGGCTTT